TTGTTGTCACTAATTCTTGGCACCACAGAAGTGTCCAAAGCTCTGGTTCTACTTTTGTTTCAGTTTTGCACTGTGCTGAGAAACTCACAGAGACAACAATTTTAGGGGAAAGTTTTGTGATTTGGTCATCTGCCTGTGTGGAGTGAGGCAGTACCTCGATCTCCCTTGGGTGTTTCCCACCGGATGCCAGAAACGGACAAAAGTTAAGGAAAGGCTGGACCGAAATTACTCCCACTCCTTTGGCAGGAGCACGCAAAGTGTTTCACTTACGTAGCTAATTCGGAAGCTCCTATAAACCCAGTCTGTGTGCTCTTCCTCGCTCAGCATCTCCACTGTGATATCCCCATATGCCACAGGATCTTCCGTGAAAGGCCAGTAATGATCACATTTCACCTGGAAGGGACGTACATCCACACATGGTTGTATTTATATAAATACACACATACATAAAGAAGTGCAATCAAAAGACCCTCTGATTTAGAAATGCCTACAGCATTGGTCACTTGATGCTGCAATAACAGGTGATTTATCCTGCAATGCCTTCCAGTCTGACCATTCCTGTTTGTGTAACTGGCCATCAGCTATACATTGGTTTTCCAGAGGGTAAGCATTAGTACAGTGAAGAAAGAAAAAACAGTGTCGTTGTAGATTGTTATTTTTCCTAATATAATAGAAAAAATGGAACAAAACACGGGGAATGAGAATGTACATCTATATTATATATATTCTGTTATATTCCAAATATTTCTATTATAACATCACGGAAAAATGTAAAGCATCGTCCTTCTATTTTATTAGTATTTAAACTTAAAAGAGCAGAATCACAGAATGCCTGAGGTTAGAAGGGACTCCTGGAGGTCATCTCATCCAAATGCCTCCCTGCTCAAGCAGGGTCACCTAGAGCCAGCTGGTCAAGACCGTGTCCAGATGGCTTTGGAATATCTCCAAGGATGGAGACTCCACATCCTCTGGGCAACCTGTGCCAGTGCTCAGTCAACCTCACAGTAAATAAGTGTTTCCTGATTTCAGACAGAATTTAATGTGTTTTCCTAATTTGTTCACATCAACTCTTGACTTGTCACTGGCACCTTGTCTCCATTACCCTCCATCAGGTATTTATACACAGTGACAAGATCCCCTGAACCTTCTCTTTTCTGGGGTGAGGAGTCCCAGCTCTCTCAGCCTCTCCTAATGTAAGAGAAGAGGCTTCATAAGGTCAGGGAAGGTCACAAGAAGGTCAAATAAGGTCAAGGAAGGTCAAAGAAGGTAAGAACAAAGAAGGTCAGGTGTAGTCAAAGAATATCAAAGAAGATCAGAAGGGTCAGGAAAGGTCAGGGGAATTCAAAGAAGGTCAAAAAAGGTAAAAAAGGGTCAAAGATTGAAGAAGGTCAAAGAAGGTCAGTGAAGGTTAAAGAGGGTCAAACAAGGTTGAAGGTCAAGCAAGGTCAAACAAGGCCAAACAAGGTAATGGAAGTTCAAATAAGGTCAAGGAAGGTCAACAAGGATTAAAGAAGGTCAAAATAGTCAAAGAAAGTCAGGGAAGGTCAAAGGAGGTCAAAGAAGCTCAGGGAAAGTCAGGGAAGATCAGTGACATCCAGGGAAGGTCAAAGAAGATCAAAGAAGGTTAGAAAAGTTAAAAGAAGGCCAGGAAAGGTCTGGGAAGGTCAAAGAAAGTCCTGGAATGCCTGCCATAAGGGAAGTGCCATTCTAGGTCAGGTTGTGATACTGCCTTATGATCAGAAAACAATGCAAAGACATTCACTCACCAGAAAATAATGTCATTTTCAGAGTAGTTTTTTTTACACTACGCACAAGATTTTATTACATACCCGTCTTTTCTCATTGCACTGAGTGAGCATAACAATAATCTGAGATTTTTGCTGGAGAACCATCTTCCAAAAATCATTCCTAGTTTCTGGCAATGGTCCTTGGGTTGCAATGTATTCCTGGGGTGAATTATAACCCTAAGAAACAAAGAGATAGGTGCTGTTAGCCAACATGATTACTGCTTCAGAACATGTATTTCTCTCTGGCATTCATACTACTTTTAGCTTGCTCATGTTAAATTCGAAATTCTAAAATTGATTTCTAATATAAAGAAACTATTTTATGCTCTTTTGTATTTATTTTTGTGGTGGCGACTTTTGCCAGATTCAATGCTCCTGAAGTGTAAGCAATTTAGAATGAAGGACAGAAGATAAAATGGTTACTATACAAATCATTTGCCCAGAGAGCAGAAAAGGCAGCATTAAAAAAGCAAGTAATAAGAACTCTAACCCAAAGTTTCAGGTTCTTCCAAATTATGTAATTTTAGGGTTTGTTTAGTTACAGGCATAAACCCAGTTACATATGCTCAGCATGCTCATCCCAAGCTGTGCCTGTGGTGATTTTCAGTCCCTGGTGTAAGTGGAAGGTAGCAATGAATGCATGTGCTTATGTCATAAGGACTTGAAATAATAAAATATTACTTAGAATTCTGCTTAAAATAATAGAGAGCATGCTGAGTCAATGCTCTTAACAGATGCTCAAATGTTTTATACCCATGTGTTCCTTTTCCTGTCCCTATCGACATGCTTTTAGTTGGAAAGATTCTTTCCATGCTCCAAAACCAAAAGACTGTTATTAAGACTATAATAAAAAGATCCACAGAATGACCATTTTGGCATCAGCTATAACCACATTTGCTGAGATTGTATTATCAAAACTGCATTTGGAAAGTTATTTTATATCCCTAGTAAGAGTAAAAAATACATACAACACACAGCATGATCCCATCCTGAGCAAATTGGACAATTTCTGTGCCACCACAGTATGCAGATAGTAAAATTATTTTTACTGGGAGCACTTTCCAGAAATGGCCTCCTCCAGACATCATTACCAGTCAGCTCAGTCTGAGTTTTTGCACTACACAGAATTTGTTGCCTGTTTGTCTGCATGGGCTACGTCTGACCTAAATGCCAAATCTCTCTGTTAGCACAGGGACACAGATTCCCCCTGGTTTATGTGTTTGGAGGCAGGAGCTCAGTGGAGAAGCGACCCTTAGGAAAAGCTAAGCATTAAGATGATGTGTCTGTCCCAGTTTCTATGGTCAGCATTGTGCTATAAGTAATACTAAAGAGATGTAAAGCAGAGCTGAACATCCAAAAGGGACCGCTACTTAAAATCCTATAATCCATAATCCCGTGTCACAGAAGTTTCCTGTGTTGTTCACGATGCTTTTGAATGCTGGAACATTTTTCTTTCTTGATTCTCTGCGAGTTCAGGCACTTGCAGCCTGAGTGCTCAAGGTCATGCAAGGTCGTGCTCTTGGCACATAGGAGCCAAGCAAAGGCAATTTGCTCAACAGTCCACACATGGGCAATGCCACAGTGACAGAGAAGTGGCTTCACTGACTCATCCGAGGGCTCCTCCCTTTTCTGTAATGCTGACTCAGCTCTCGTCAGAGCCAGCTCTGCCTTCAGTTCACAGCAAGAGTGGAGAGATGCTCATCTGTCTGTGGTCCCCAGGTAAAAAAACCTTTTTCTAAGTGGATGCTGTTGTGCTCTACCTCCTCTCCACGCAGAGAAACACTGGATATTGCTCTCCAGCTTACACAGAGCCACAGTACGGGAGGGTAACAGAGGCGCAAACCTTTGTAGCAGTGGCAGGGATAAGCCCAAGTGACTGCACAGGTGGGAGTGGAAAAAGCTGATGAGGTTTCAGCCAACCCCTCAGTGTCACAACATTTGGCTACAGCTCTGTGTACACTTGAATTATCGTAAAACTGTGGGTGCTACTCCCTGGTAAGTGGCTGTTCTCTGCCAGGCGGAGAGAGGGAGGCCCTCTGGGAGCACCACGGATGAGGCAGAAAGCAGGAATTCCCTCCACGCACCATCTGGGCTCTGTGCATTTTTTCAGTTGTGGAGTGTTAACCCTTTTATCATGTAGTGTAGAAATCTAGAAAAATTTCTCATTTAAAAGTTTATGGTTTTGTTAGCTGCCTTAAAAGGCCCCTGAATCCCTCAGCATTTCCTCCCCATTTCCCTATCAGTCCAATCTGGGTTTCACAAAGCTCACCCAGTGCTACTGTGGCAAAATTTGTCAAAAGTCTTCCCCTCTGCCACCTTTTTTTTTTCTTTTTTGGTGGCTGACATAACACACAGTTCCCTGTAGGCAAAATATTTGAAGCTGAAGGCAACGCTGAGAACATGACTGAGCTTCCAGGAGTTATTGTGCTGTTTGCAGGGGGCACACTGCTGTGCAGGACACTTAACTTTACACTGACCAAATCTCTGTACTCACAGGAATGTAGTTGGCATTAATGTAATCAGATCCCTCCTCTTCATTCATTGAGACTAAGCGGACACGACTAAAATCATCTGTAAAAGGAAAAAAAAAACCAACACAAAAACCTTTTCTCTCAAACACGGCACTCATCCCCAACCAAGCAAAATTAAAACCAGTCCTACAGAAACTGCAAAAAAAAAAAAAAATCTATTAAAAAATAGAAAATGCTTAAATTTACCAACAGAGCAATGTTTGATTCAGCAAACACTACGTGGACACACCATCATTACTGTTCTGCAAAACACACCCTCCAAGTGCCATCCCTCTGGGCTCCCTTAGGTTTCATTAAAATCACAAGAGAAAAATAGTAACACTACTCTGTAGCAGAGACGACCTTGTGCTTCTCACCTCCAAACTTTTGTGATAAAACATCCCCAGGAAGCGATGTCTGTTCAAAGCTAACCAAAACCACCTCTTGCCCCGTTCTCTGCGAGAGCAGATTTTTAGAATGGACTTTTATCAGTCAGGGAATCTGCCCTGATTTTCCAATTTTCTTATTAAAACTCTTCTTTCCCTCGCTGGGGATGTCAGCAGGATTTAGTGTGCATTGTACTTACACGGCAGGATATTTGTGTAGCGATTTTTACAGCGATTCATGGGAAGGTCAGCAGCAAAGTGGGGTATGTCAAGCCCAATCAGTTTTAGCTCCTGGGGTAGCAGAAAGAGAGACACCAAGGTCAAACTCACACACGCTTGAAAAATAGTTCTTTGAGAAGCAATTACTTGTAGCAGGTACCAGACAGAAAATGTTTATGAATCACTTTATAAACTGACATAGGACTATACTGACTTTCCTTATCTGATGCCTCTGAGTTGGACTCCAAGCAGCTGGAGAGCAATGCTGGAGTCTCCTGCTGAATGCTGCCAACACACTGCTGCCTTCCAGGCTGTGGCTGCAGATTGTCCCTCTCTACCCACATTTAATTACCCAAAAGCACTGTCAAACCAGGAGGTTGCTAAGTTACTTCTGTGGTGGTCATCTGCCCCACTTAAAGGGGTTTCTTCAAGTCCTCACGTGGCTTTTAATTTTGGGGGAATGCTTGGAAGATCTTTCTAGTCATTACCTTCAGTAGTTACATCTAATATGTATTGCATTAGAGGAAGTTTCACTGCCAGGAAGGGATCCTGCCAGCCATCTCAACGCCCAGAGAATCCTCCCCACTCCCTTTCCATGTTTAAATCTTTGGAAGACAGCCCGAGGATAGGATTTTTTTTAGATTTATACTATTAAATTGACTTTAAATTCTGGGTTATTAAGAGAATGCACCTGAACCTGTCTTAGAGAGATCTCCTTGCTCTTACAGAGACTTTTGATGCTGCTTTCTCATTCCAATGCTTCCTCTCAAATTAAGGGCATTTAAGATACAAAATAAAGACATTAAAATCCCAAATTCAATTCAGGCTACCAGCACATCTTAAAGCAAATGCGCTGCTCTGACAATTATCTTGAATTGATTGTGATGAGCCACTCAAATCAGTTTTACTAAATGCAGGCTTTAGCAACACCAACATCCACTTTTAAATTCTGCAGAAGTGGAAGTGAAGCTGACCCACCCAGCAACAGCTCACATTGATCAACACAGAGCACAGGAACACACCACACAAACTTAACATCTTGAAAAAGCTGATCTGGGCATGGCAAGTAGCAGAGGGCAGAATCCTCAGAGATTTACCTCAAATTGCAGAGAAAATTTGTAATCTGAATCTTTGGCCATATCCTTGATGTATCCGTCAAAATCATCCAGCTGGACAGGGCTTTAAAGGAAAAATACACAGAAAGTAAGTAAAAAAAAAAAATTCAACTTTTGAAGTACCTTTCATTTCTGTTTCCCCCAGAATAGTGTGACTCTCGGGGATAGTCCTGTACAGGGTTAAGAGTTGGACTCAATGATCCTTGCGGGTCCCTTCCAACTCAGCATATTCTGTGATTCTGTGATTCTCAAGTCAGAAATATGTTTTTGCAACTGTTAATGCTAGAAAGCAACAATAAAGAGCAACCTTGTGTTTCAGGGCCACAAAATGTGGGTGTACTGCTCATTACATAATGCAACAGCACCAAAAAGAGAGGCTGAGAGGGATTGGGCTTGTTCTACCTGCAGGAAACCACTGGTCTGAATGGCCCATGCACCCTTCCTACAATTGATCACTAGCCACTGAACTGCTTTTGCAGGTGGGTGCAATCCCAAGGCACAGGTGGCACAGTAAGAGGTGGTGATTCAGGACTCCACTGCAGACCCACTCTCAGTGCCATCCCACCAATGTGCTTCTGGCACCAGAACAGCTGCTGCTGCTTCATTTAAGTTGCCTCTTGTGCCGTGAGAAATGTTGCTTTCGGATAATTTCACTTCTGGAAGAGACGCTTTTAAAACTCGTCTGAGCTTTGCTCATGCAGAGAAATTGATTTCATATTTAGGCTTTGATTTTTTTTCAGAAGGTCCACCAAAAAAAAAAAAATCCCCCTAAACCATCATTTTGGATGCCACTGTCCCGACTGCTTTCTTTGCTGGCTTCGGGAACTGTACACATTTGTCATTAGAGGTCAATGTCTCAAAGAGATATGGTGGTTAAAAAAAAAGTGGCACATAACTATAGAAAATCCTGGAGAGCTTCAGCAGGTATGAATTAGCCTTGATTTAATGACTCCCATCATTCTACACACTTCACCAGGTGAGGATCTATCTGCTATAGTAGAGGCACAGCCTCTGAACATAACGCAGAAATAATTAGGCTGACGATCTGAACAACGAAACACAGGTAAACAGCTTCCCTCACCTAATTATCATGCTCTAATTTACAAGCTACTGAAGCATGTACACAGTAATCTTCTCATTTACTTTGAGGCAATATGCCCAAAGGAACCTGTCTTATCACCACTTAATTACTCCTGTTTACCCGTTAGCATTAATGATCTAATGTTCTAGCAACAACTGTAATGAGAGCCTGATGTCAGGAGGGAAATATCAGTAGAAATAAATCCATCCCAGTTTTCCCCCCTTTGTCATTTTTAACTAAGGATAAGCTCTGTCGAAATCACTAAGTTGAATAATTGATCTTTTCCCTGATGACTAATTTTCTATCAGTAAGGAGCTGTTTTATTACAATCTGGGAGAAGAACTGCTTTTGTGCAATTATTGTTTGTTTTCTGCCTGCAGATATCTCTCTCAGGATATGTTTATCTAGAAGCTTTCTATATCTGTAACTGCAATACCACTATGACATATACTTCATAATGCATATTTAGTCTAAGGCTTACTCCTTTAAATATCAAAGAAATTACATACTTGGTCAGCTTTCTCTTCTTTAATCCATTTTTACTCCTGTAAAAAGAAAAAAACAAACAAAAGAGAAGTGTTTTTCATTCATTAAACTATTGTCTATTCAAAGATAATACTGATTTAAGAACGTATGCTTCCTGGTCACCATCATACTCAGGAGGAGATTGATGATAATAACTTGGACAATTTTAAGCTGACAGCAAAGTTTCTGTTGAGTCCAGTGGGATGCGTTTTCCACTCCATGGCTCTGAGAATGTGAAAAGGAAAACCCCTGGGAAAAGGAAAACCCGTGTCCTCTATAAATCCTGACCCAAGGGCGTTGTTGGTTTTGGGTGGGCTGAGCCCAGTCGAGCTTGGCAGGGGGCTGTGCTGCTGGGGGGAACACGGCACCACAACATCCCCTGGGCTGCTCTGCTCAGTCTCCAGTGGGCTGGGAAACTGGATGTCAACACTGGAGAGCAACTGGGAATGAGAAGCATCTGTTGGGTAAAGGGAGAAGACCACCATTGGCAAACTCGAGAAAGGGTGAAGGAAAAAAAGAAAGGGCCTGTTTTATAACCTGCTTGTGATGATCAATGAAGACAATGGCAAATATCCCACTGACCTCAGTGGGACTCAAGCTTAAACCTTAGATAATGTTAATTGACTTTTAACAGCTAGAGATAATTATGCCAGTCGTGTAATACAGTCTGCACATGATTTATAAGTGATATAATTCACTAGTGACAGTGATGAGCAAATTTTTCAATGTGTTAAGCAGTACAACCCAAAGGTTTGGACTTAAGAACTGCACTACACTAATTACCACCATGTGGTTTTTTGGAGGGGGTGTGTGTGTTCATTTCAGTTTTGCCACAAAAAGTAAAGCAATCAATCAGATTAAATGCACAAAGTAAGCACCCTAGAATAATTTGGCTAGAGTTCTGAAAACACGAATCTCCTTTGTTAAATCAGCTAAAGAACAGATTCTTGCTTATTCAAAAAGAATTTTAGTAGTGTCATTTTTTTTCTTACTAGTCATTACACAATATCTGTTAATTTTCCACGTTATAATAATGCTATTTTTAATTTCATGATGACACGAAAATGACTTCTAGATAATTTGGTTCATAGCTTCAATTAGGAAATTAAAGGAGAAGGGTTATAAATTTAAAACAATGAAAATATACAGAAATAAATATTAAGAAGTGAAGTATTTTTATTTTTCTACCCCACTAAGTTTAGAAGTTAAATCAAAAAATTAATTTCCAAAATTAAGCTTTAAGAAATATTCAGTTTCTGGAGCAGCCACATCCTGTAGCGATTTTGGTATTTTGTCAAGGTACATTTCCACTTAGATAAGGAGTTTTGCCTGCAGAATTAACAAAAACTATAGTAATACCAGCTTTACATTAATGCAGAGATTTACTCTGCACAGCTTTACTTTGCAAATACTACAAACCTCTTCAGCCTACCATGTTATCTGTACAGATACTACCTGTATAGTATCTGTACATTCATGTGGACTGTACACATAAACTCTCCATCTTCGAAGAATTCTTCCAATGAAATCCTAAAATTAATATCAGTAAATTATTCAACACATCTCTATCCCCTGTGACTATGACAGACCTTTTAATGTTGAGCACATTGGAATTAATTTCAAAAGAAAAAAAAAAATACCTAAATGTTCTTTATGATGGGGATGCTTCTAAGAATGCTTCTCCAAGGAACACTTCAAGAGGCAATAAAACAAACGATTGATATACATTTGTAAGTGAGAATTTCATGTGCTTTGATAGTCTCAAGAGGCCTTTGTTTCTTAGCATTGCAATTGTTTTCTGAATGTTCATAAATATTTTAAGCCAACTTGTGCACAGAACAAAGACATTTGAAACGTTAGCTGGTGTTTCATCTGTTATTCCATTTACTCTACAGATTAAAATACAAAGAGAGGGATTAATCTCATCTCATTCAACTTCTGCTCCTGTGAATTTAATCATCTACACTAAACTAGGTAGACTGATTGAAGAGGAAACCTCTAAAGAAAGGTACACATCTGGAAAGGTGAGTTAATGCATATTAAAAGAAAAAAAACCAAAGGGGCAAAAGAAGACAACAATTCTTCTTGCAGGAGCTCCACCACTGTGCAGCTCGAGAGTTAGCTGGGTTTACATCAGACAAGTTACAAGTCAATATAATAGGAACCTTGGAGAGGTGTGGAAGACTTCCAGCTGCTCCTCAGCTGGGTGTTTGTAAAGAACATGATTTTATTTTCCTGAGAAAAGAAATGGACCTTTCTTCAGTTACATAAACGCTCTCATTTCTGGGCCCACCGAAAATTTAGATGGGTTTTTTTTCATACTTACTGTGACTCAAGGGAACTCAGCCTCAGAAAAGCCTATGTTGAAGATGTTGATATCTGCTTGCCAGTGCTTTGGTGTCATGTGGTAAGACCAGGAAAAATAAATCTAAACTTCCACACCACATGTTTTGTAAATCCCTATAGTTTGGACTCAAGACCATCAGGAAATTAGGTTTCTTTACATAAATTAAGTGGTTTTCGATCACAGTAAATTTGTAGTTGTTTCTTAAATGGTTTGTAAAACAGTTCTGGTTCTAAGTAGACCCATGGCTTTGTCAGGTATTTTCAAAAAAAGCCATCAGTTGTTTACTAAGTCTTTATAAATTATTTACAGACTGAAGTATTAAATATACACAGATACACAGTGAGACGTGCACACGGTGATCCAGTTTTTTCACTTTGGGACTTCTATTTGTATCAGTTCTCACTGAACTGGTTTTTTTTCAAAAGCAAAACATTTACTGTGTCAGGAGAACGTAATTGCACCTTTAAAAAAAATTAAGGTATTTGACATCACACACCAAACAGGTGGGGCACGATGAAGCAATTTTAGTAATAGAACAGCATCCACAGGAGTCAGTGCCAGGCAATGAACAGGTGAGTAACTGGGACACAAGAAGCCAGAATTTACAATGAAGTGGCAAAAACTGCAAAGACAGCAATGAGATGAATATGATGACCACTGCCAGATTAGCTTTTTAATACCAAAATGGGTTGGAGCATAAGCAGACGGGCCAGATGAAGCAGGGTAGCAAATACTTTGGTACCCACATCCTCTCCAATCCACTTTCTAGTACAAGAAAATTGTATCTTCAAAAGCTTCGACCCGTTTGAAAACAAAGGTATCCCACATTTTTCATGTAATAGGAATTAACATTGTTTACACATTGCATATGGAAAAACAAATAAATCACTTACCAAGGATTAATATAAAATGCCAAAAGATAATCAGTCCAAAGGCATGAGGGTAGCAGAGTTAGGAAAGCAAACACACTTCTACGCCTGTGAGCATTAATAGATAACATACATAAAGATGAAAAAGTGAGGAGAGTTAGTAAGACAAACAGAAATCAGGAGATCAGCAAATTCTATTTTAAAAATCAGCTAATCCCATAAATCCTTCTCCTTACTTACTTCATAAGAATATTATTAGCATCCCTAGAATTTTTGCTCTCAGCCTGACACCCTCTGCAGGTTTTTCAGCTATACAACATAAAATTCTATATGATCAAAATAAATGTGTTTTATAGTACCGATTCAGGCCTGTTATTCCAAATTTTAAGAGTAAAAAGGGTATGAAAATATCATCAACAGGTTTATAGCTATTACATAGGTGGTACTAAGTCTATTTTCTGATGTTTTGAGATACTTCAGGACTGACAAGGCTTGTTTTTACCATATACAGCTATGATAATCTCCCATGTTTGTTCCTGCAAGTGATTCTGTGGGTACCAGAAGATCTATATCAGATATAAATTCAGATGCTTCTAATATCTCCTAATACTCTCCATTGAGTCAGATTTCTGAAAGCATCCATATAACATTTTAGAGAGTGCTTTAAATTATCACTTAGGTTTTCAGCTAAACATGGTTTAAACAGTTCTTCTAACTGTGGTTTCTACAAATAACTATTCACATCAGGTTTAATTGTGGCTAAAGGAAACTGGAGTACAAAATAATTCTAAACTTCTAAATCATTTACAAACCGTTTACCAGATTCTGCTACACATTAAACCAGTAAACAAACATTTCTCCAGTGGAAGGATTTTTTTTTTTTTTTTTTTTTTGCCAAATACAACCTCAGTGTGTTTTTAACCCTTCAGCAAATCTGCTGTCTTAAAAAACAATACCATCCTTCTGCAACTGTTCTAAAGAGGAACTACAAAGTGAAATTTCCTTGTTCAGTACTCTTGGTTCTTAAAAGTCAGTAGATACTGGTTTTTTTCCCCTGACAAACAAGTCATGTCAAATGTAATCATCTCTCATCTTAATCTTCCAACCAGTGGACGAAACTTCTGCCCAAACATGGTGAAAACTGCAAGTTATGCTTTTATGGGTTTTGCTGCTGTAAAGAAAATGGGCAGTGCAGTTTCTGCAGGGCACCTTCCCCAGGCATTGGGAGGAACTGTGTGGGTCAGCCAGAAGCAAGAGCCTGTTCTAGTTAATCATATGCCACAGCAACTGCAGCATCAGGCCTTAGGGCTCATCAGTTGTTGAGTCTCTGTGGGACTGAACTGAGGATGAAATCTGGTTTTCCCTAAACAGATTTCTGGTGCCACAATTAGGTTTCCTTTAGGCTCAGAAGAGAGAAGTGATGATTTAGCTGGAATACACCTATTTCCTTTGGAAAACTCCAAGTGAGGTTTGTACTTCCTCTTGCCCTACAGAAGCAAAAGGAATTATTTAGGCCTGAGCCTCTTTCATCATCAAATCATCACACAGATGATTTTTCCACACTTTATCAAATCACAGGCTAATGTGCTTGCAAACCTAATTAATATTGTTCACTGATTAAGAGCTCTGATATCTAAACCAACTGATTTCATTCAACATATGAAAAATCTGTAACTGCCCAGAAAACACAAAATTGTTTTCATGCAGTTATGTAGTCTTTCACATACTGCTCACATGTACTGAACAACTTTACTTAAAGAAAGAGAGGCAGAGACTGCTTATATCCTGAAAACTCTGCTGAGCTAATCTTCCCTTAGGAAGCAGTGGATATGCCCATAGCTCCCTTACTAGATTCCCTGGAATGACCCCAAGGAAAATGGGTTTCTTCATCCTTCTCTTTGGTACCATATTTACCATTTGGCTGCCAGGATTGATGGTGAATCTGGTCTTCACATTACACAACAGAGGCAGACAAAACAATTCTCAGATAAATAGGGACCACAGGATTAGGGCACACTGCCATCAGTTACATAAAACTGTGGAGATATTAAGCAGGAGTATTTTCCCCAATTTATATTTTTATAACATAATTTATGTGTGTGTATATATATTCTTATATACACATAGATATACACACACACATACATACACATACACCAAATCAAGCAACAAGAACCTCCACTTTCACATCCAAACCTATTAATTCCCCTTCCCATTAAAAAAAAAAGCCTTTTATGGTTTTAATAACGTCTGTTGCCAGTTTAATCATTTCATTCAAGCTTGGCTATTTAATTAACGTGAGTGTTTGATCTTCTGCCTTCTTTGCCATTAATATAGTCCAAGCAAGAGAAGCTGAAAGATGGCTTCGTTTGTACAGCATACAGCTGGCTGCTATAAAAGCTGAACCAAGCAAGTGAAGCTTGTTTAATACCCAGTTAATTAGCAGCACAGTGAGGTACTGACAAGATTCACTGGGCTTGTTAGTTCAGTTTGCATGCTTATTAGCAAAAGGCTTGTTGTAGTGCGGTGTCAAACCATTTAATCCCGTCCCTGTTGGAAGGCTGTGTCCTATGAGATCATGGAAGCAGTTCCCTGCACACCAACTCTTCTTTCCAACTTCTTAGCTGTCAACAAAGCTGACCATGGCTGTAAACCCAAGGCACATGTTTTCTTCTTCTTACATACTGGAATGGGGCTGATGTTACGCTTTTAAATGTCTGTGTTTGGACTTGCCTTGAAAAAGGTTTTTGCAGAGATTTCTGCTGACAAAACTGCAGACCTCGAGTCTGTCATCCCCACTCATTTGATTATCAAAATAGGAGTGGAAATGACCATGCTGGTGCCAGTCAGGTGGCTCTCAAAGCCTTTTACTGCTATAAAAGCTAATCCTACAGACTTTGTTCAAATACTTCTTTTCAGCTGATGGTGACAGTGATGGTTTGGAGTCCATAGTCGGTACTTGCAACCCTTGCAGGTGGTTTTCTAGACTAGCAAGAACATGTTTAGGATTTATTTTTTTTCAACAGCACTGAACATTAAGTTAGAGTATATATTTGAGCCTTGCAATGTAAGGAAATATTAATTAATGCCACTGCATGAAGACAGTTGCTAATTAGTCATCTACAGGCAAACTTACTCTGGGATATAAATATATGGAAGTGCTAATGGATTTATAGATCAAGTTTCCAAAGTTGTGTTATTTTAGAAAAAATCCTACCAAAACACATCTATGCAACTTGGCTGACATGTATGTACATCATTCCCTACTAAAAATAGCAGGTGACAGAATGCATGTCTTCAGTCATCGTTCAAAAAATAAAATACATTCAAGGAATAAAATACTACACATTAGCAGGTATAGTAGTTTAATCCTAAAGAGGGACAGCAATGACATAAAAAATAGGCACTTTAACATTATAGATAATATTTGCCAAAAAGCAGAGATGGGAGAAAATATAAGCTTTGCTTCAAACACTCACCAGTTATAGGGAAGCTTTCCATCTCTCTCTAAAGATGCAAAATTCACAAAGGTTCCAGCCCCACATTCCCTGTTTCAGGAAGACCATTAGATAAAAAGTTAACATTTTTGGATTCACAATGGTTGCAGTGAGCTTGATTTAACACAGAAATCTTGGAGTTGCAGAAAAGTGCTGAACACTCACATTTGTGACTAAGTCTGAGATAATCTGTAACAAAAGGAACTGAAATCCCTTAACAAAATCAAATCCCTTGTCCAAAACCAATAAATGTTCAGCACCACCTGAGATAAAATTACCTAAAAATGCTTACAAAGAGTGAAGTGAAACAAGGGAGAAGTTGTTAATAAATTTCTCAAATAGATCTCATCTCCTGTCCAGATTTGTGCTTTCCATAGTCGAGCACTAGCACTGTTTTCTGGCCTCAGTACTGATGCTAAATATTTACCTTTCTATACTAAATATTTACAGTCCCTACTCTAAGGAGAAGATGTTTAATTGTGTCCTTTTTGCAGGAGTATGGTAATTTTGAGTTGAGAAAATAATTGGGGGGAAAAGAAAAAGAATTCCTGAGTAACATTCCAGGGAATTTATCACAAGTCCATTATTTTCGGCTATGAATTATAAACTGACTTGACTATTTTTGATTTCTTGATTTAAGCAAACAATTGATTGCAGCTTCTTACTGGATTTATTTTTTAAAATTTCCTTCTGGGGTGTTTATCTTCTGTGACTAGAAGCAGTGATGAAGAGGAAAAAAAAAAAAAAAAGCTTTGGGCTGCCTGCACAGTAATTACATAGGAAAGAGAATTAATTTAGCTGGGATTTTCACAGAGATAGTTACATGTAAAAGGAACAAATCACATAATGTTCTCTGAAAGAGATAACCTGCAAAATATGTGTGATGTGGTCATCTGTTGTATGGAATACACAGACAAGACACAACACATAAAATGCAGTATCTACTAGGTAGTTAAGTGCAAGATTTTTCACTAAAGTTTTTTTACATGAAATAACTTCCTTTCTTGACATGGTACAGTAAATTAATAAAAAATATATTACATAGATTTTTTAAAGGATGAAGACTCCATGACACATCCAAAACTAGGAGGTAAAACACACATCTAGGGTTTGGAGAAACTGCTGCAGATCACACATGCCATAACATAACCCAGACAAAAGCAAACTGGTACAGGTAAGATCACCTAAAAAAAAGGAAATGCATCATCCTGGACCTGATGAACAAACCATGTTATCTCCTGATATGGAAAATCTGTTCCAAACCATATGAAAGACTCATGAAGCATTTTGGTGTCCTGCTTGTGTCTGGTTGCCTCAGATCCTAATTGTCATTTACATTCCCGACACAACCCTTACAAATCAGTCTTGCAAAGCTCAAAATGACACAAAGGTTGAGGCTTATAACTCAGGTCAAGAATGAAAGCAGATAGAGGAAGAAGACATGCTACTCCTAAACAGCAATAAGACAACTATTTTGAAGGTATCCTGATCACAAGCATCTTGAGTAGCACATTCTTAACTGAAACTATTCTCATGATGTGTTTGTTGTTGTCTGATTTTTTTTTTGCAATTAGCATAAATCTGGACTTACCTGGCCATTTGTAGGTGTTTTCTTCTGAGTACAATAAGAGTCACCAGCAGCAGTCCAATCAGAAGGATACTCAGGATGGCTAACACGGAGATTACCACTACATTGGGATTCATCTCAGTGACTGTAAATACAGAAAGCGATTCTCAGTTATTCAATTCAGAAGCAGTGACAACTTTGTTTTGTTTTGCCCTGAGTTATGATAGTGCTATTTTTTTTAAACTGAACTCATTCAGAGTGTTGCAGAGAGGAAAATCTACCACAAGAAATAAAGCAAGGTTTTAACCAGGTTTTTTCTCTTAGAATATTTCTTTGGCTTAGGAAATTTCTTTTGACTTCACTCTGGCATTTTTGTTAAACTTTGGCGTTTCTGATTTGTTGGTTTTTTTTTCCTTCTTAACTGACATTCACAATTCAAGAGAAAATGGTGATGGTGACATAAAATACAGATATTCACCATCATCTGTGTTGATCATCACATTTCAACTCAGAAGTTGTTCTTCAACAATAATCAATACTTTTTTTGACCCAGAAGCAAAATAATAGGCTGAGGCTCTGTAATTTACTGGGTGGATTGAAACTGATTAATTACTCTGGAAGACAAATTTAAACAAAATATTCTGTTTTAAATAATGACTGAAATCAACTCTCAGTAACAACACCTTGATTTATTTTTGTTTCATATTACATGGTTATGGACTATACTACTATGAGACTGGATACCCTGTTCTGCTCATTGTATATTAAAATCTCTCTACTTTGTGTGCTCAGAATAACTTTACATTCACAGTTTCTATGGAAGCATTTTTTAGATTAAAAAGCACGGAGATTTTTAAGCTAAGTATCAGCCACTGAACTCCATCATGGAGTGGTATTATGTACAGGACAAGTGACTAAAGCTGTGCAACTCCCCAGATAAGCAGAGATGACACTGAGCACTGAGAAGGGGAGATTTTAAAGGAAAGTCCAGTGCTCTGACCAGTTCAACACCATTATTTTTATTTCAGAGCCAGTATAGAGCCAATCTTCATTACATGTCTAGGGATCTTCCATCCTTTGGCTGGGACTGCTCAATGTCCTGCAGTGGCCTTTCTCCTTCTCTCTCACTTCTTTGATGAATGCAGAAAGCCTTAACAGCTCACAAATTTGATTTTCCTCTTGTTTGGGATTGGCTGAGAACACATTTTTCTCCATAAATGTCATCAAGCATTACCCTGATGTTCAGTATTGACACCACAAATTAGGTCCCTGATTTCTAAAGCCCAGAACAGAATTGACTCTCTAGTTTATAATTTTTCCAAATCAAACCCCTGGTGGGGACTTTTCTAAGGACTTTTTAAAGCTGCTTCCCCATCCCATCCACATCTGGCAGCCTTTCCATGACACGAAAAACCCCTGGGGCCAACATTACAAAGCGCAGCTTTAGAAAGCAAGGGGAAACAGATGCAGCTGGACAAGGAAGAAGAAAGCAGGGAAGTGCTGCTTACCCATGGTGGAAACCACAATGAAAGTGGGGATGCTGGGGCTGTTGTGGCTGAAGGTGGTCACGCTGCAGTTGTAGGAAGTGGCAGGGCTTAGGCTGGAAATGGTCACGACGTGTGAAGAGACGGTGACAGGTTCCTGTAGACATGGGGAAAAACACACAGAAGTTTGTCTCTCCTGCAAATGCAAGAGCACAAATCAGTGCTCCACATAATTGACCGGATAAAGCAAGATCTGGCGAAAGAAATCAGCACCTTGAAACACAGGGAAGGTGATCAGGACCTGCCCTTGAAAATAGACAGGCAGTCTGGCAGAAAAGGGGAGAGGGATAGGGTGAAAACAGCAGCAAGAACAGCCCAGAGCAGCCAAAGGACCTCAATGCTTTTTGAGGAGGGGAGGATGGGTGCCTCACAGCAGGCTGGTCAGGCACATGCCTGGTGGGGGCAAGAGCTGTGACCTCCAGGACACCCTCAGAGGTGGGCAGTGCTCAGGAGCTCTGGTTACTAAGCCATACAGGCAGGAGGAAAGCAAAATTATTTTTATTCAAAGCACAGCCAAGACAGCCACAACCTCTGCACCCTCATATGAATGCATGTCATCTCTGCCTCTGAGGCAGTTCCTCTGGATGTGAGCCCTTTGAGTGGCCCAGGTGAAAAACAAAGCTAGAGCAGAGCCTTTTGGTAATAACTATGATCAGACATCCTACACCTCAGTTTTTCTACCTAGAAACTCTTTAAATAACGTATTTATAAAATGTTTTAATTACTATGACCCCGGTAAACGCTTTTGTCATTTTTAAATGTCGATAAAACAAATGAAAACAAACACAAGTACTCCATGTGCGTTGACTGACAGATAAAGCTCCTGAAGGTCTTCAAATTTCTATACTGTCCAGTAAAACCACGGGTGGTTTGGAGTTGCAAAAACAGAGACACTGAACCAGTAGTTTAGAAAGGGAAGAAGAAGAGGTGTTACGAATGAACTCCAGATGGAGAGTGCAAGATGCTGTAACAAGTCTCAAGCACTGTTTACAACAGCCTGTTTTCAGTCCTGGCCTAATCCTAGGCTTCCAAGGGCTCCTGTTGTAGTGCAATTCTGAGGTGCATTATGCAGATGAAATCACATGGGCATAAATAGAAGGGAGGAGAGTCTTATTGCCTGAGCTGAAAGGAGAGGCCACTCTTTGGCATTTGCACTTGGTTGGATGTTTTCCATTTTCCCCTCTGGGAAACTTAAATTAGTCAACCAAAATCCAAGATGTTCAAACCCAGAAAGCTCTTGCTTTCCATTTTGCTGATTTAAAGATGGAGGAAAGGGACAAAAAATGTCCATGTAATTAGCATGGAAAATCACAAAGAATTTTTACCAGTTTATTTGGAAAGCATCCCTTTTTACAGCTCAAAAAGGAGCCTTTCCCATTTTCTTCACAGAGACAGAAAAGACAGTGATGAATCTAATGAGCAGTGAGTTTATAATCTCTGTGCATTACCCCGTGCCAGATGTTCATGTCAACAAATGTGACACCCACTGAAGCATCTGCCAAATGAAGCAGTCTTTTCCTGATGTTCTTAAACCAGATCTGCTCTGCCCAAAAGTTGCAAATTCTGTGGTACCTTCCTTGCCTGATCGCATCGTAATTTTGAATCTCTGCTAAGTGATAATGAGTTCATGATCTTTAGCTATACAGAGTGAAAAACCAGGAATCTAGATGTGGATTCCAAACTATCCAAAAGATTAAAGTCCATTTAAAGATTTTTTTTTTTGCCTTTAGTCAGTGTCTTTTTCTATTTTAAAAGAATATTAGATAATTCAGATTGGTATGCCACAGGATTAAAGAGTGTGCAAGTCTCTTTTGTGATAGTCAGTGGTTTAACTAGCTTATTTTTCACTTCTTTCCTGAATGTTTCCCCCTTATGTGTGACAGTCCACATAAGAAAATGATGTTTCATGGCATATGCTCACAGTGATTCACTATAGCATCAGCTAAACCACAAAGTAAACCTCACATGTTGCACTGAATGACAAGGAATTAAATCTACTACTGCTCTCTATTTTGCACTGAACAGCATTTTCAGTTTAAATACTCCTGTATTCAGGTGGCCTCTGAGCACAAGTACCTAACTGGACAGAGAGAAAAGGAGGTTCATTTCTGAGGCTGAGAAAGTGAGTCTTGAAGAAAATACTCTGAGACAAAATGCATGAGGAGCAGCCACATTTGCAACAGAAAGGTACTCCTTGAATAGCAATGAAGCTACTACTGAACTTAACTGGAACTACTACTTAACAGATCTCAAAACCAGAAATAAAGTATGTCAGAAATAAATAGATGCTGCATAAAAGATCTCATGGCATCTAAATATGTCTATTTTTTCCCATTCCTTATCAAGTTACCTGACCATTTTTCCCTTCTTGCTAATTGACATTCCCTTAGTTTTGCGGCCCTTTAGATTTTCCATGGCATTTTAGATCCATTTTCATGAGTAGCCAAAGCCTGACACTGTTGGATTCACATAGCTTCTGTCCAACTAGTTATCTCACCAACAAGAGAGAAGCCAATCTTAATATTGAAAAAATAACAAAATATTTTAGCATTTGAAATGCTTTAGTAGTTTAGCTTTTAATTCTGAACCACCTTATCACATTTGGTATAAAATGTCACTGGGTTTTACATGCACATGCCAAATAGCAGAAGCCAAACCAGAAAGATGCAAGGCCCAGTCTCGGTTTTAGAGATGAAGAGCAGAAACCAAAGAAGAGATGCTTACATACCTGGGCTTTTGTTTCCTGACCAGATCCAGCCTGCTGGCAGTAGACTTCAAAAAAATCAGCCACTCCTTCTTCCACCCACAGCAGCGTCACAGAGGTCTGAGTCTTGTTGACAGCAAACAATGATTTTGGAGGCGCTGGTTCTGATTAAGAGGGAAAAAAAATCTCCTTTTATTAAGCTTATCTTTAAGTTTCCAGACAACTGAGAAAAATGAAAAAAAATGAAAGCAGTGCCGGATGCCCTTCTATCCTTCATTTCCTTCAGATAAAATCTGCCAGTGTAAAACCTCTCATGATGATAGACTACCACTGTAAAATGGGAAGATGATGAAGTGTGTTGGTTTTTCTTCTCTATTTAAACTGTTCTCTATTTGGACAGATGGATAATTACTTCACTTCCCTTTTCAGCAGAGCCCTTGTTTGAGGATGATCAGTGAATTCTATTAATAGAACAGTGTTAGCAGAGACTCTTTCAGAGAAGATGACTGTCCACCTGTTAGCAACACATTTGGCCTGAGAAAGCTCTTCTTCTCAAGACCTGCCCCAGGAGATGACAAAGAAGCAGCTTCCCACAAGCAAAGACTCTCTAGGTTCATTTAATTGTTGCAGAGGAAATATTTAGTCAATTATCAGTTTAAACAAACACTTGCAGTCTTTTTTTTTTTTTCCCCAGGCTAACATTTAAGGGCCTTAGGCATCCTGGGCTCTTCTGGTTTGCCTCTAGAGGTTGTGGTTTGGGCTGTACACTTCTGAACTGTTCTCCACAGTTTTCAGATTTCCTCATCTATGGATGTTTAATTAAAGCTGTCATTCTCAATTACTGAACTGATTCCAGGATTTTGACACACTGCATAAAATGAGTGATGCACAAGAACGTTTTGGTTTTATTCTTTCCCTTCACAAATAATTTGTTAGTCTCATTCTGTGAGATGCTGTCACAGGAACCTGGATGTGATGTGTAAGATCCACCACACGAAAGGGCACAAAGGACTTGTTCAAGTAGTTATAGACATTTTGGAGATGTATCTGATCCTGAAACAATCAGATCTGTGTTGGAGGCTGCCAAAATTACATTGGCATTATGGAGAGAGTTGGGCAGGGACTGAAGCCCATTCACGTGTGTCACAGGGATTACAGTGTATATATTATCCCAGCACTACAAAGGAAAGCATCCCTCTCCCATAATTACACCCATATATCTGCTCTTGGATTCAGAAACACATTCCATCCCTCACTCCAGGTAAAAAAAATGGCCTCAATTAAAATATGAGGTTTGCATTTGGGCATCATCCCAAGCAAATCCTCCCTTTGCCTCCAGCAAATGGCTCGATTTTTCTGCAAGTGGAAAGTTGCCAGGACGAAGCAAACATCATGGAGGGAAGAGCATTTGGCAAGAATGCTTAAATGACTGCCAAGTGCCAAGTCGTCTATCACTCAGACTCAGTTTCCACTACTGCTAATTACAATTCCCATTGCTCCTCTGAGAAACAGAGAGAAGGAAAACCTCTGGTAAAACACCCCTACTACTGTCTATTCAAAGTTTAGACATCATAAAGGTAAAAAACCCCCACAAAACTGAACCCAATGAAAACCCCACACCCAGAAGTCTGGAAGGGATTTATCAAAACGTAATTCATTCCACCTTTTTGTTGTTGTAAATGAGAGGCGAAATACCCGCCTCAGTTCAATAAGTGCCTGTCCTTAAGGAAAGAACAGGAGGATACAACTGTGCTGCAGGGTGTACAACATGAATATGTCTGAAAGACAAAGCTAGGTGGTATTTTGAAACACCTCCCAAGAATCTTTGGACAATTGTAGCACCCTCACGCACCCACCCACTCAGCCACAGGGACAAACACACACATAACTACACACAGAAAAAAGGCATGGGGGAAACAGTGGACAGGGCTTGCAAAGGGAAGAAAAGATTCATAGAATTTGTCTACATCTTTCAAACATTGTCTTCGGTCAAAAGACCTGGAAGAACTTCAGATTGTTGTCTCTGCACTGCTTAGCCCAGCACCGTTTAAGCAATTTGACTAAGAACTTTGAAAAACATAAAAGGACAATGGTTGCTTCAATACCTCTAATCCAGTTAGAAATTATAGAGTACTTTAAACTCACTTCTTTCACTGTGACTCACAAAAGGTTTATTATTCATGTAGGGAAGATAATCCAGTTTGCAATCACAAACTTTTCTTTACCCACCTTCACAGTGGAGTTAATGCCTGTTAGAGCAGTCTGGCACACTGGGAAATGTCACAATTTTAGGTACCTAAGACTCAACAATTTTAAGTACATTCAAAAGAGAAATAAAATTTCTTAAGGTACAATGGTGCAGTGTCTAGTCTTCCTCCCAGGTAAAGGAAGATGTTAGGCAGAAAGTCATATTTTAAAGTCTTTCCTTAAGGATCAAGTTCTCAAGTCGTCTTTCGTTTCTTTGAGTACATTACACATATTTCACTTATAACAAAGGTGGATTCCACAACCACAAATCTGACTGTTTTTCTCAAGAGTACTGTCATTGATGTTATTTAAGGGTATATTTTTGTTGTTTGAAGACTATGCAGATGTCCAGGAAGACAGGAGGGGAGACAGGAAAGCAGACCAGGTGGCATCTGCCAGGAGTGCAGACCCAGAAATAGGCTTCTCAGAAACAAGGAAGGTTCTGCTTTTTATTGAAAAATCAATCTGTGAAGCCTGAGTTGCCATTCTCAAAACCTGCATATGTTCAAGACCTTAGGGAAGCAACTATGAAGTTGTATTGTTGTCTCAGAGAGGCTCTAAGTGATTTCCACTCTCCTACTTCCAGTCAAATTTACAGTCAAATTCTGACACTCTTGCTCCTCTTGAGCAAAACTATTTTAGAAGAGTAGCTTCACATGAAGGAACGAAACAATATTCACAGCAAGGTGAGGTGAAAATTGCAGCTTTGCAAAAGAAATGGGGTCACAGGTACAAAATTCTGAAACAAGGAAGGTGCTGCATCTGCTGACAGAGTTACTTTTACAGTCAAACGAGAGAAGGAGTGAGTTTATAATTTACAAACAAACTTTTCTTACCCAGTTTCACAAGCTGGGGCAGGGAAGTATTGCTGCCTCTTTCAGTACAAGCAATCACTGAAAGGTTGTAAATGTCCCCCGGAGGCAAGCTCAACACTGCAGTCATCACATTGCGTGTTACCTGAATAATTAGACACACACCAACTTAAATATGATGCAAACCATACACCTTCCTTGTAAAATTAATCTGGTTACTTAATATATTACAAAGGAAGTTCTGTGCATCACAGCAGATGTCTCCTGCATAATCCAGGCTTGCTACATGAACCAGTTCCCACTGACACAAACTATGAAAGCATTAATGTTCGGCAGAATAGCACAATGCAAAAACAAGACAATCTTAGGCTGCACTTTCCATGTGAAAATTTATGGAGAAAGAAAATCTCCCTCACACACTGAGAGGACTCTTGCATCTAGATTTTTCAAGTTGTGCAAAATGCTAAAATGCTAAACAAGCCACAGACTTGGGTCCCTTGCAATTCTAGAGGAATTTAAATCAGGTCAGATACCTCCAAGAAGAGCACACAAGCGACATGTAGGCAAAGCCTTTATGTATCCTACAAACCTGGAAATTAAATCCACCTTGGCAAGTCTAACACCTGCCAGGAGACCTGTTGACTTGACAATAGATCTCAGGGTCTGAGTTCATTTATCTGCAAGTCTGAAATCAGATATGACTCAAAACTGAGCTGAGCTTCAGAAGATTGTGAATAACTTCTTCCTGTTATTATAGTGGTAGCCTCCTCATTTCTCCAGGGTCATGGAGAAGGACACAGAACTCAAAACAGACTGTTTTTGGAGCACTTGTACACTACCTACAAAGGGCATGTTCAGGAATCTCATGCTGGTTTTCATAGTCAATTTTCAAGATTAAGTTTTCAGTTGCAAGAGAAATTGCCAGTTCTGAATAAAGACTAACAGGGCTCTGCACAAAATTTTCATCACTTCTCTAAAATCTGACCAACTCCTAAGGAGACTTGGGAAATACACAAGGAGCAGGAAGAAAAAGTCAGCATTGACAGTGTTTCTGACAGTGTTTCCTATTTATTTCAATAATCCCGTAAGAAAAACAACCATAATAACAATCTTAATAATTTCAGTAAATCACATTATGAGATTGCAATATAGTGACTAACAGTTTAGGAGAACAGGTACACCCTTATATCTGCAAGTGTGTACCCATAATTACCCATATGAGCAGGACCATAAAAGTTAGCTATAAATAGGTTGTTGCAGGATTTTCATAAAGAATGCTCTCTGTGTTCCCTTGTCTTGAAAAGAATATAAAGACAAACATTTCTAAAGACATCCCTAAAGCTTTTATTTTATTTGTGGATATACTGTATTGTAGATACCCTCTATTTTTAGTCTTTTGTTTAGGGTAAAATTACATATTTGATTTTTTTTTTAATTTGATTTCATATTAAATGTTTCTTTTATGTTCATTTAATATACAATTTTCATATTCAATGGAGGCACAATTTGAATTCAATCTTGCCATTTCTGTTAAGAATAACAAAAAGTCTTTCTACAGATACATAGCAAAAGGAGGGGCAAGGAAAACCTCCATTCTTTATTGGACATGGATGGGAACAGAGTTATCAAAGATGAGGAAAAGGCTGAGGGATTTAACACCTTATTTACCTCAGTTTTCAACAGTAAGACAGGTTGTCCTGAGGACAGTTGGCTTCTGGAGCTGGCAGACAGAGATAAGAAGCTGAATAGCCCCGCTGTAATCCAGGAGGAAACAGTGACCTGCTGAGCCACTTGGATCCTCACAAGTCTGTGGGACCAGATGGGATCCACCCAAGGGTGATGAGGGAGTTGGCAGAAGAGCTCACCAAGCCACTCTCCATCATCTACCAACAGTCCTGGCTCACTGGGGAGGTCCCAGATGATTGGAAGTCGGTGAATGTCACACCCATCCACAAAAAGGGCTGGAAGGTGGACCTGGGAAACTACAGGCTGGTCAGCCTGACCTCAGTGCCTGGCAAGGTTATGGAGCAGATCATCCTCAGTGCAATCACACAGCACCTACAGGATGGACAAGGGATCAGACCCAGCCAGCACCGGTCTGGACCCCTCAGTTTAGGAAGGACATGGAGGGGCTGGAGCAGGTCCAGAGAAGAGCAACAAAGCTGGTGAAGGGACTTGAACACAAGTCCTGTGAGCAGAGGCTGAGGGAGCTGGGGCTGTTCAGCCTGGAGAAGAGGAGGCTCAGGGGAGACCTCATCACTCTCTACAACTCCCTGACAGGAGGTTGTAGCCAGGTGGGGGTTGGTCTCTTCTCCCAGGCAACCAGCAGCAAGACAAGAGGGCATGATCTTAAGCTCTGCCAGAGGAGGTTTAGGTTGGATATTAGGAAGAAATTCTTTACAGAGAGGGTAATCAAACATTGGAATGGGCTGCTCAGGGAAATGGTGGATTCTCCATCCCTGGAGGTTTTTAAGATGAGACTGGATGTGGCACTGAGTACCATGGTCTGGTAACCACAGTGGTGTTGGATCAAGGGTTGGACTTGATGATCTTGGAGGTCCTTTCCAACCTGGCTGATTCTATGATTCTATGAATGGCAGAGAAATTAGATTTTTACTGGAAGAATAATAACCTTACCAAGATCATGACTTTTAGAAAGAAGAGAGGGATATTTTTGCAAAATTCTTTTAGAATTCAGTTATTAGAATATTTTATTTTTAGGAAAAAAAAAATAAAATATAGAGTTTTCTTCTTTGTTTGGAACAAAGATCCAAATACTGAAAGTTCCTGCTGTTCAGAAACATTATCAGTTCTAATCACATAATTAGATTCATGCTGGAACAAGCTCCAGATGGGTGCACTCTTGCAGCCATAAGGAATCCAATGAAAGCTATGCAGGTTACTGCATATAAACCCAAACAAAAGTTGTTGATGAATTTGCACTTCTGCTGAAAATACACTTTCAGTTCAGCATCTGCTGAAACTTTCCCTTGAAAAAGACTGAACACTTTCTTCCTGCCAGCTATTGAAAGGTCAATACTGGTGTAGAAGACAGTCACAGGCCACAAGCTGTATGAAGCTCCACTTCTGGCTGTACACATTCCTGCTCCACCACTATTGCAAACACTTCTCACTGTAAGTCCAGGGGTTGCTCTTTTACTTTATCTTAAACCTGCATCTCACTACCTTGCAGTGCCATGACTTTAATCCATAATTGGTGCCGCCAGGTTTCTTTTTCTAAGTGAATTTTCAAAATGTTCAAGAGAATGTACCAAGAAATCATCTAAATATCTAGCAAAGTTTTCTAAGAAGTGCACACATTCTGTGTGAAATCCTCATCCCATCGGTTAGTGAAACTTGTATTCAAACATAAAATGAAAACCACATAATTTATACGGATTTTTTAATGAAGTCAAAAAATGGAAAGTGATAGCACCTGGCTTGAATCAACTAAAAAAGCTTAGCCAGTAATGTACTCTGGTTATTAATACCTAAAAATTGAAAAGACTGCATCTGTTCAATAAAAAAAATACTGTTTTACTGTCTGTAGCTCAGACAGGTATTTTAAAATTATCTAAATTACTGGATTACCATAGAAACGTTTTGTTCACTGGCTATTTTGAGACCTGTGAAACTTTAAACTTGCTTTAAACTTGCTGCAACTTTGTAATACAAAGTTATCAACTCAGGAAAGCAAGCCAAGGAAGCAAGCATCACTTCCCTCCCCCCCAAAAAAAAGAATAAAAAAAGCCCAGAGAAATGAGCAACACAGTCCCCGCTCATACTTACACTCTTCTTGATTTTCTTCTTTCCTTCTGCAATGACCATCCAATGCAGCATCCTGGAATGAGAAAGGTCAGTACCATCTCCTCCATAGGTCCAGGTGACATACAAAAGGTGGTTGTAATATTCTGTGGAGGTAATCTCTGGTGCCACTGGTGCTGAAGGAAGAAGGTACATGTGTTACAGACAGGATCTAACACAGTTGATTACCAAATCTAGTAATAAACTCTGGATCCTTCTTCAAAGGATAAGGATACTGTTGTGAAGAGAATATCACAAAGTTAGCAGAAAAGTGTTAGTAAAAGCTACTGCATCTGAGCTTTAGCCAAAAGATGTGAAAGCTGTCATTGAACCTGGGAGATAATCAGAACAAAAATACACTTCTTTTTGCAATCTTTCAGTTTAAAAAAAAAAAATCACAAAGCTACTGGCTGATACAAATAATTTTTTGAGTCAACATTTTTATAATTGGAATTCAAAATCAAGCTAAAAGCCTCACATATTGCTTCATTGTGTTATTGCACTGAAAAGAAATACTGAATTGGTACGTTAAATAGTTGTAATAGCTTTTCCACAGGAAAAAATAGTCTTATCACTGAGCTCATATCTTTCTAGGAGGAAAAGCCCAAAACCTGCAGTTTTACAAAGAACAACTTTTTGCATGAAAGTTATGACCACCTTTCTCCCAGGGTGAAAGTCCCACCACCACAGAGGGCAGCCACAGCTAAGTCACCTGAGCACCAAGTGTCCAACCTACAGGCACGTGGTACCTGCATTATTAGGTCTAAGGTGAAACAGCTCTTCTCCATCCTCTTCCTCCCCACACCCAGCTCCTGTCCAGTCCTCTGTGCTGCACAGCTCAGACTGCCCCACCACAGGCTGTTTGATGGCTTGTTTTGTGCTGGACCTGCCAGCAAGTCCTTGGCTCCCTGTGCAGCCCAAGAACCATAGAATCACTTAGAGTGGAAAAAACCTTTAAGATTGAGTCCAGTCACTAACCCAGCACTGCCATGTCCATCACTAAACCATGTCCCTAAGCACCACATCCACGTCTTGCAAATACCTACAGGGGTTGTGAGTCGACCACCTCCCCTAGTTGGGTCTCTCACCATCTGTGTCAGGAAGTTTTACACCCCACATACTTTGCTTTGCTGTATTTCCAGCAGACATCTGGTAAGTTGGAGTCCCTCTAAAGAACGAGGGCTGACAACTGAGAAACTTCTCCCAGCACCTTAAAGAATCCTTCTCATGGAGCTCTGTCACTGAGCAGAGGAGTTCCCTGCTTGGGCACACCTCCCATGGGGTTGCTCACTTCTGCTGTTGGTGCTGGCCTAAAAGCAGGGCACTCCCTGCAGCTGGCACCTGGGGCACCACATATTCCCACTGGAGCTCTGCCTGGGCAGCCACATCGGCCACGGTGGGTGCGGAGCTTAGGGAGTCTGTGGCTTTCTGGCAGGTGGGCACCATTGCTCCCTGGTTGAGTTGGCAGGGCTTCAGCACTCTCCCTGCATGCTCTTCTGCACAAGCTGCCATGCCAGCTGCTGTGCCACATCCTGTTTTGCCTGCCCCGTTTGTGGCACTCCTGGTCACTGGCACTGCCCGTATGTGGGACGGCAGAAGAAAGACGGCAAGCTCCAGAACAACTCATCTCCTCCTAAAATAGATATTTAAGATGAGAATTACCTCCTGGAGGTGTGTCCCCACTAACTGCAGAGGGAGCATAGTTGGTCAGCACACCTTGACTGCCTAATCAGAAGTTGCAGGTCCCCAGTGAGGAGTTAAGTTAACACTGAGTGGAAACCCAAAAGCAAAAGTCAGTGATGAGTAAAGATCTCAACACAGTCTCAAAGCGATAGCAGTGGGATAACCTGGATAAAACAGGGAAACATATGAATCTCTATATGCTTGGCAGATTCTCAGGCAGCAACGTAGGGAAAATGGTACGGACTGATTGATCTTCCTGTGCACATGCCCCAAGGAGTCCAGTGTGTTTGTGCAAGGGCAGGTCAGACGCAGCTGCCTCCCTACCACCAGGGTCCTGGACACCAGCACAGCTGCGGGTGCCAGCAGCCGAGAGGAGACGCAGGACGGCCTCGGAGCTCGGGTCTGTCTGAAGGGGCCACAAGATGTCACTGCTGCTTTCACGAAGGCTCCTATGACTTTGGCACTGACATATTCTTTGGCGAGCAGATTTACTGAAGTAATTGCTGAGGAAGGCAGCAAATACAATGCACGGACAATTTAGAGCCATTTAGAAACGTTTAGTAAGATTATTATCCCAAATTCATCATGAAGATGCCCTTTTATGCTGTTGAGAGGAAAAAGCCTAGTTTATTCAAAGCAATGTTTCTTTTAATTTCTAGAGTTCCCAGTCCATCCCTTCTCACAGATTGTGTATTCCTTACAATTTAAGGTCACAACTGGCATGAATATTATACACTAATAGTAATTTCCCCCTGGTACCTTATTATTGATGACATGCTTTCCCTCTTAATGTTCACACAAATGTTTGTTTTAGGTGTCTTACAACGAATGTCCAGCACATGTCTAATGAGACCAAGGGCCAGGGCTTGTGTGACACACTCCCCCAGCTCCACGTGCCACTGGGAGCTGAGTGGCACAGAGAGGCTGTAGGAAATTACATCCCACTGCTGACCTGGTCCAAAGTGACAGCTAAAAGCATCCACAGGCAGCAGATGTGGTGACAGTCTCCAACACCAAGAAGGCTCTCTGTCTTTCTCACTCCTTTTGCTTCTCCAAAGATAAAAGCATTCTCATTGTAAAAACAAAATGCTGGTGGTTTAAAGAGTCCTTACTTTTGATTGCTTTAAATCCAGCTGTTTACAGCAGGTGGCATTAAACTCATTAGTCACCACAGCAACACTGGCAGCACCACAATCTCTCCCTGAGTTAAAATAACAGTGTTCAACTACTGCTGCAGGAGCCTGAGAGAACAAATGCTGCTTCTGACAAGTCTCTTGGATCCCCCAAATCTCCTCGATGCTCCTGGGGACATCTGACTAGTTGTCATGGGAGAGAGCTATATATCATCTGGTGTCTTGAAATATCCTTTTCATTCAAGTACTGCAGTTCAGTAAAGCCCCAGCCTCACTAGAGACTCCATACAAGCAGTGGGATCCTGCTTTAGGGAAATGGTTTATCCGCTCTGAGCTTTCTGCAAGGTGCGTTCCCAAACTCCCAGATGATCCTTCTACTTTGTTTTTAAAACTCAAGCTTATGTTCCAGGTGCAGAGGTTAGCTCTCCAGTTATACACAGAAGAACTGACAGATGGTGTACTGTCAAGACTATGAAACCTCCACTCCAGTATATTAAAATTTAAGGGCTTTTTGGTGTGGTTTGTTATTTGTTTTAATTCCTGGCAACCTGTGCAGGGGAGCTAGTGCTTTTGGAATGATGCAGAAAGAGACCAAGTGCTCCATAAAACCATCTGTTCCCTCTCTGGAAAGAAAGAGGCTGAGGGTGATAAAGAACTCTGCAGCCCCTTGATAACTCGAAAGAGTGAAAAGGCAGCACCTAGGGGGAACAAACATTTCAAACCTGCAGACTTGACAAACTGGCATCCCATGTTCTCACAAGTTAGCCCATCAGCAGTCCCTGGACAAAGTTGAAGAGATTGCAAGTAATAAGGCAATCAGAAGATAGGAGTGTGGTGACCATTTATAAGCACTTGTAATTTAACTAAATCAGCTTTCTTTGTTAGGACTCTTCACTTAAAATCACAGTGTGATTTTATTAGCTCATTGCTACTTAACATTTCCATCAGTATTCTGAAAAAGCAGCGTTGATGAACCACTCAAGTAATGTGGCAACTGGCAGGAGTGGAGGATTTGGACAGTGCTGTGCTTCAAATTTTGCCCCCTATGCTGGGCCTGCTCAGGCAAAATGTGTTTCAAAGTGCCAGGTGCAAAGTTGAGTCTTTATGGAAAATGGCATGTAGACAACATTCCCCAAATGATAAATTCTGTTAGAAAGCCACATCGTAGAAGTAAATCAACACAGATCTCCAGTGTCACGCTACAGTAAATGCAATCATCTAGATACACAAATGGGAGAGCTTTGAATAGGGAGCTGATTTTGCCTCTAGGGGAGTATTCAGCAGGCTGGTATTATACTTCCAGTTTTTATGTACTTTAGTAAAGATAGGAAAAATTAGAAAGGCAGAGTAGGGAAAAAAAGTAACATGAGAAAACACCTTACAGTGAAAGCACCCAAAGAGTTCAATGGAAGCAATTTATTAACAGAAAAAAAGTGAAGCTAAATGCTGTATAGAGAGCAGAAAGAAAAGCTTTGTGTCTCTTCAAACAATAAGATAAAAGTGCAATAAGAATTTTGAACTGTATATTAAAACTAGAACAATTCAGATCAGAAACACAGGGTGTAAACTTTTGATAGTGAGAGGAATTAACTATCAATACAACTTTCCAGCTGGATATTTTCACTAAGGACCTGGTGACCTTTTTTAAGAGAGATTTTGTCAATCATAAATGTATGACATTAAGAGATTCATCCATTCTGGTTTTGTCTACATCTGCTAGTTAAGAAGTTGATCCATTTTTCATTTAACAGCAGTAGCAGTCCTTACTGTCATCATATAGAGATTCAGACTGATACTGATGACAGCTTATATTTTAGAAGAACCTTAATCTCCCTCATTTCTCCTGTAGGTTTCCAGAGACACAATATTGAAGTGAGTGTCCCACTGGAACATTTCCACTCTAAAATGCTGAGCCTGGTACCCAAATCAGTTGGAAAAGACATTTCTTCCCTCATACAGCAACCAACCAGCTGGAAAATTGCTTCCTTACAGTGCTACAGAAAAGTTGATTGATGCCAAAGGACAATGAATATCCCTGGAGACCCTTTACGAGGCTGTGGTGGGTGTTATGAGTTTCTGATACACTGGAAAAGTGCCAGAATTTGTCTGCACTGTAGCTTAGGATCAGACATCTCAGCATGGGAAGGTTTCTGTTGGTTTCAGTGGAGCTATGACTTAACCCACTGATAAACTTTCTATAGTGGCTCTGTCAGGCACAGGCACTGTATTGAATATAATTGCAAATGGCTCTTATTCATTTACTTCCTCAGGTACATTCCTTTAGTCTCTCACAAACAGAAAATCTGGGACTAGGCTAGTATCTGCTTGGGAGTGAGTGGCTGGGACATTATAGCCTGATTTTTCTCACCTATACTTCTGCAAAGTGAACTAAACAGTGGCACATAAAAGCAAAATGATTCAATGGGAAACTCTGATTTTGACCTAACCAGCCTGGATGCTAGGAACATGTGGCAAGGTGCTAAGAGGACCTGTTTTATGCCAGTCCCTCAGTGGCTGATCTGTAGGACATACTGAAGATTCAAACCCAAAGAATCTAACAAGAGATGCTAGAGTGTGTTAAATACATGGATGGTCTCCACTGGAAGAGGGCAATCCATGTGGTTATATCAATTAACTGCAGCTGAGAATCCACATTACTAATGACTTGCCAGCAAATATACGGAAGAGTGTTTCATAATATTAGGAAACCTAAGAATTCAGGTTTACCTATCTAACTATTAACTTCTGCATGTGTCAAGCATGTAGTGTGGTAAAAGATGAGCAGGACCACTGACCCTCACTGGAGCCATGCATTCAGCTGATTGGAGGACTGGAACAGAGTAACCAAGCACTGTGCTTGGCACAGGAAAATTTTATATATATCCATTTAAAGCAGTCCTCAGAGCCTTCCTTAAAAATAAAATAATAAAGCACAAAAAAAACCCCCAAACCCAACCCAAACCAAAAACCACTTGGTAGATAAATATCCTAACTTGCAGCTATCTGTAGGTGAAGCACAACACCCAAGTCAGACTCTCTCTGCGCTTCTGCTCCCGGGAGCACTCCCAGAGTTTTTTTCCAGCTGGCTGCTTACCTGTTATGAAGCTGATGGTGGAACTGTCACAGCAGCTCAGCTCTGGGTCCCCCCAGGTCACCATGGTGACCCGGAAATTGTAATACCAAGCAGGCAGCAGGTTGGCTATTCTCTGTGAGGAGACAAAAGACAAAGAGCAGCTGAGGAGAAAATCCACCAGCATGAGGTGTGACTTAAGAAATACAACGATATTTATAAATCTGGTGCCCACACTCATTTTACTGAGCTTCCATACCTTACTTCGGTCAAAATCCCTGGAATTTGGCCTTTCAATTTATTAAAAAAATCTGTGCAGGGAGAGCAAACACAGTTGTGATGGCTCTGCTGCTCATCCATCTCACGCACCTTGTCCCAGGTCCTACCTGCCATGGGAACCTCTCATTGATTTCCAGAACAATACTCACAGAGCAATCATCCATCACGAAATTCTGATGTGATGAAGGCAAAATATCTAACTTTTTTATTTTGATTAAAAAGGTATTGAGAATAAATTAGAAAGCATGTTTTTGACTCAAATATTGTCACTTTAAAAGACGTATTTTTTCCAATTTTCGAAGTGTTTTTCACTTTCCATTATCATTTGTTATAAATAAAATACGAATGAAACGTAAATTACTTAAGAGACATAAATTAGACATGCAAATAGAAATGAGATATAAATGAAGTATAAAATGCAATACATGTTGTATTATAATATCACATGTAATATTTAGGTTAAATTCAAGTACTTCCACTGACAGCACAAAACACTTCAAATATTTAATTTTTATGTTTAAACGAGAAGCCTCATGATATTTTTTAAAATTCAAAATAAAAGCAAATTGGAAATAATGGAAATTTTCAACAAAGTGGAAATAATTGCTATTTTTACAGATCTCTGTTGTTTGCAGTGGCCTTTTTTTTTTTCTCCAGATACTACAAGACAATGCAAATATAGGGTTTGTGATCTATCTTTATGATTTTTGGGAAAAGCTGTACCCAAATTGACACCAAAATCTTGAAGTTGCTTGTACTTCTTCTGACATGCCCTGGTGTAATATTTAAAATACCAACATCGCTCTGACAACTTTAAAATAAGTTGCAGAGCACAAAATTAATGAAGCAACTAAACAGACTAAAAAGACAAATTCAGTTCCAAAGGCTCTCACCAACTCTTAGGACTTCAGGAAATAATATTTGATGATTCAAGTGGTTGGGTTTTGATTCCCCTGCCTTCTCACTGTTGCTCCAGAATACACCACTCACAGACGTCAGTAGATCATCGGGAAAGTTTTGGGACATGGTGGGATTCTGGAGCACCACTAGAGAACCCAAACAAAAATTCACCAGTCCCTACCCGTATGTTAAATGCCATAACAGAAGGACAGGGAGACATTCTTTTCCTAATTCAAGCTTACTCTTTAAAATTATTCTTTAAGAAATGCTCATTTTAGCTGCGGTAACACGCTGTCAAATTTCAGACTGAAATCCAGACAAAGGCTTCCTTGAGCAGGATTTGCAACAGTAAGGGGCAACATCATCTCATTTCCTAATGAACCACATTAACTCTGGATGATAGCTTTGCTTCTTAGATGACCCAGATCACTCTGTTATTAATCTATTTGTGCTGAGTCATGATTACAAGATATTAATTACTCATTTGGTAAGTTATTTTTGTTTTTAATTTCCCTGGAGATTTATTGTCACGTACCCAATTACAGTTAAGGCGCTGCAGCCAAAATGACTCCACAAATGGTATTATGCAAATCAATTACAGTAAATCACTGTGGCTCTCACCAGCAGCAGAAGTTATTGCTACCCTTTTTGCATACTCATAACTTTCTGAACTACTAATTTCAGCTAAAATTGCTTTCTGTCTTGCACTACAACAAAGTCTGAATAAAATCTGTTCACCTTGTCTAGGAAATAATGGAAAAGAGGATGAAAATTTCACTTCATATCTGCAAAGATACCTGTGAATATATATGTTTGGGTGTTCTTAGAGATACCAGTGTACAACTGGTTAAAACCCTGGCATAAGTCTTTTTAGCTTCAGAAACATGAAGGCTATTTTCACAAAAACATCTCTGCATCTAAGCCTTCCAGATGGCACACTGCAAGACTAGCCCACAAGCCCCAAATCCACATTATCAATATTAATTATGTAGATAAGGCTTTGGATGACGCTCCCCAAGGAGATGATGGAACTTTTAAAGCCTTGACTGACAAACTGACCCACAAACCGAACCCACCTCTGGACTTGCTGAACAACAAAAAAAAGAGGCTTATCTCTTGCCTCATCACTCTGCTGGAAATTTAGCACGCTTCAGCTGGCATTCCCTTACTTCAGAACAGAAAATGCCTCTAGCATATGGGCCGTTTTCTCTGCTTTGCTTGGAAAAATTGTGCCAGGCTTAAAGGCAAATGTACGTATTCATGGGGAAAAGGCTGGGCAAAGAAGTGTCACCGGGTGCCAGCACCACCCAGGCAGGGAAAAGCAATAGTCAGGAATGGTCACTTTACCACAGAGGCGGTTAAGGAGACGGTTGCTGCTATTTCGTAGTAGGTTGTCCACTCAGAGGTCATTGTTGATGGGTTGAAGTAAAACATTTCTACAACGTATTTCCTGAACACCCCAAGGAAAGGTCTGTTCCAGCTCAAAACCACAGCAGTAGGTCCCAAAGGGTAAAGTGTCAGATCCTTTATTCCAGTGGGCACTATAAACCAGAAATTATCATTAGTAACGTGCATGTGTTATCAGTTGCACTTTATTTTAAAACAATACCTTTCCTTAATCAAGTTCTACCTATTTCTGGTTTGTTCCTTACCTTAATTCCCAAGAGCTTCCTTGACACAGTTGAATATCATTTTTTAAGCATTTGTTCTCCAGTTTAAGACCACTTTTTCAGAAATGTCTACAGACCACTTGGTGTTGGCTGCTTAGCTTGAGATAAGGCACGGGGCTTGCTTTTTCATAAATGAGAGTTCCATTTTACTTTGCTTAGGAGATATTTCAAGATGCTCAAAAACAAAAGCATCAAAAGCCATGACACCATAAGAAAGAACATTTTTTATCTCTAGCCCTCCTTCCCTGGGGAACCTAAAGGTTCTGTCATGTATTGCTATTCTTGCCTCACAAGTGGTGACACTGAGAAAGAGGAGTCAAGTGATTTGAAAAATGTCACATAAGGGTCAACTTCTGCAACCTATACTGGTCTGGAAAGCAATTACTCTTCATGACTTAACTGAGGCTACTTAAATAAGTACTTTACTATAATTCACAAGGGTTGCAGAGCCCCAGCTATTGCACACTGGGTCAGAACCGAGACCAGCACCCAGATTACTTCAACCCATGCTAACACATGATTGCCTTTACCTTTATAAATCATTTACTATGCCTTTTCTTTGCTTTCTCTAAAGTGCTAATACTCACACAGTGAAAGTGAGCCTTAGGCTAAACATGGGGAGAATTGAGCACTTTTTAAAGTGGATTTTATTTTATTTGAATTTCATTCATCATTAACCACCACTGATAATAACACAGAACAATTTTTTTTTTGCAGTTCTATTATTTTAATATCAAATTCAATATCCTTTTATGAAATGAAAACTCATATGACTGTTGTGTTAGTGCATAAAAACATCCTCTTTATAATAATAAACCTATGAGATGTTCTATTTAGAAACTGATTGCCATTTTGAGTTTAGAAAGAAACTTTTATGGAAGTGAGTCCATACAAAAGGCGAGAAAATTAAGGAATTTACTTTGGGAATACATGATTTTACTTTCTCAAATAAAAATAGAATTCTTTAACTACAGTGAGAAAGAAAATCAAAAGTATTTATAAAAATTGTCCAAAGAGAGAAACTTCAATAATAACTAAAATATATGTTTACTTACTATCTTTTTACTTTACTGAAATATACCATACTTTTCAAATTTTTACTCAAACCCAACTTATGAAAATATACAAGGATATTGCCTAGAATGAAAAGGCCCTCATCATATTCACTAGTCCACATATTTGCTTTTATGTAGGGATTTAGCTGTTAAAAGGTTGACTTCTTTTTCACTTTCTTCTCTACATCACAGAGAGGATGCAGACTTAAAAATACACCTGCTCTTCCACTGGGCAGACTATTTGTCAAAAGGAGAAGCTGGGTGACTCAGGTCGAACATTTCTCTGCAAAAGTAACTCTATACACTGAATCTCTTTCTCTTTGCATCAAAAACGAGCACCACTAGAGACAAACATATATTCAAGTGTCCAAGGGTGAAGGCAGTTCTTTCCACAGGGCACTCTCTGTATGATTCCTGTCCATAACTTCTCTCTATTTAATTTTGGTAATAACATTTAAATGTGAAATATCTTCCCTCCACTGAAGGAGTATTTTCACCACCTCAGTAATGGGCTAGGCAATACAAGAAAAATATTCTCAGTAAGTGTTCATTAGACTTGAAATAACCAACATGACAATTTTTTACTCCCTCGTGGGATCTAGGACTTCATGAATATACTACACATATTTGAAAACAAACTCAAATAAACACTTTTCAAACAGTAGGTGCAGGGATTACCAATGGAAAATGTAACGGGGTCAGAAGGTGGTCCCACCAATGGTCCTTTCCGTAAGTAGACCACAACTTGGTACTGGGCACCAGGAACAAGATTTTCAATGAGGCTGCTGCTTGAATTCACCTAATAGGAGGGGAACACATCAGATATGAAGTATTTACTTGGTTAATTAGAAGAATATTGAGACTGTACTTGAATGACTCCAGTTACAGAAGGCATGAATCCGAACACAGTGGCATCGACAGCAAAAAAAATCTGTTCATTGAGTCCAAAATGGCAAAACTGTGAAAGTGGTCAGGACTGACTTGACAAATAATCTGACTCAGAGAATCGCACTTGCCTGGCTGCATAAGGTCAGCTATCACACTGTAGACCCACTCTCTCCTGCTGTCAAAGTTTATTAAAATATTCAGGTTACATTATTAATTTTCAGGTGATATTATTCAGGCTGGAGCATTTAGACCATGTGTTTTCAATCAAAGCCTGAGGCTTTTCATCCATCATCCGATGCAGCTATGTGAGCTGAAGGCAGCATTATGGGAAAAGCTGTCTTCTGAATGCATGTAGTAAGTGACTCCACAGTGAAATCAGAGAGGAATTATTCTCTGTCATTTCTCCCCTCCACGGCATTAAAAAATGTGACTAAGGGGCATTGTGTTTTTTTCTTTACAAGTTTGAACATCACTATTAAAATTTCTGCTGTGCCACACCAGGTTTCAGTCAGAGCTGGAGGCAGAATGCCTGACCAAGTGACTCCTGGTCTGACACAATACAAAAAATCTTATCTCCTGAAGACTCCACTAACAGCAAATGCACAGAACAGCTTTGAGAAAAAGCCTTCACACATTCCTTCTCGAGCTGCAGGCTGGTATTTCCTCCTAATATTTTCTTCACAACCTTTCCAAAGTCTGTATCACAGCCACCTCTGCACTGGTGGTTTACTGCAAAGCACATGAATGTATCAGTGCCAGCACAGATTTAGTGAGGAACAGAATTTGACTTTACCAGCTGCTTTGGAAAGCTAAATCACTTTTAAATCATGCACCATGTTAGAATGGATAGAACTTTGCACTGCATTTTGCCCCTTTTCAGCTCATCAAGAAGAATTCAAACCAGCAGCTATAATAAAGAACTTGAGATTACAAGCTGATTCTGAAAAACAATTCTCAAACTGTCATGAAAAGACACTTCCAAACCCTTTAAGTTCACAGCCATTCTTGAAATAAAACTCAAAATTTTTGATAGAGATTCATTTTAAAGGACATTTTTAAGGGACACAGACTCTCATATTAATTCCCTTGCAGTCCTAATCAGAGAGTTGAAGGAGACGAAGATTTATGGGGAGTGCTAGTGGTCTCCTTCCATTCTCATGAGTGAGCAGAGGGTGAAGCAGGGGCAGCACTGCAGTCCTTTGCAGACTCCATCATCACACATATTTAGGGAGCCAGACAGAAATCATGGCACTGCTCAGAAAATGGCCTTATCAACATCTTGGTAAGGTTACTGAGATGTGGGCTGAAACCTCTCTCTCACTGAAGCCACTCGCCACTGACCCATCATAGACACGGAATCTGATGTGGGGTTGCCCTCACTAAGGGCTTCAAGTAACAGAAAACTGGCATGTTTTGGGGTTCAGGATTTTTGATGATTATAAACATGTCCCACACAGCAGCTAATAAAGAACTGTGGTCCATCCAAATCACAGGTGGCCTGAATTGCTATTTACTTCCCAGTGCTGACATCTTTTCCTGTGGATGAAAAGAAAAGTTGACTTCTGATCATCTCTAAACTTCCAGAAAGTTTACAGTCAGGTTCTGTATTCATATATAGGATAGCTAAGAAATAATTTATGCTAATTTGATTATAATAATGCATGTGAGCACTCCACTTAATACAAATGGATTACAGTACCTGCCCAAGTGCTATTATGGTATGGCACCATTTTGCCTACTGCCACAGAAATGTCTCAAAGGGTACACCATAACTCATAAGCTTGAAGAAAGGCTTGGTCACAGTCAGTACAACAGAAACCCTGTTTTAACAATACTGTGGTGTATTGCACACTTCTGTTCCTAAATGCTGTGCTCTCCCCTACTCTGCAGCCCTGAGCCTGAGAGAGCCCTGGGGCACGATGATTCCAAACAGCAGGACTGTGGGAAATTTCTTCCTGGATTTGAAAAGGCTCCAGCTTCTGCCCCTTACCTCAGTGCAGTAGTGTTTTTCAAGCCTTTGACTTTCCTTTTGCTTCTGACAGGTCAGGGAGAGCACAGACACAATGGTGTTGTTGCCGCCGCTCTCGTGTGACGCTGTCCAGGATGTCAGGGCAGTAGTGGAGCTCAGCACTGTCACGGTCACATGCTGGGGCTTTTCAGTGAGCTCCTCTATCCATTCACCTGTGGGACCTGGGACATGTCCCAAAAGCATATGTGAGCAAGCCACTCTATCCATTTGAGGCACATATGTTAAAACACCCTTCCTTCACGGAATTATTTATTGCTAGTGAGGGAGGCTGGACTCACAGTTGTCCACCTCCACAGCCCTTAGGCAGTCAAGGTGGGAGCCCCTGGGAAACAGTCTGTGGCTTGAGTTATTTTACCTGTAGCAGAGCAGATGACAAAAGAAATGTGACTGCCTGGAAATTCAGATTGCAGTATTCTCTATTGCTTACCAGAAACCACCCAGCAATATCAGATTTGCTTCAAGGGAATGTTTAAAAGCAGTGATAGGCAATAATATACAGATCATTGACCAATATTAAAGGATAAGCACACAAAATTTTTCGCCTCTCCACATACTAACATACCCTCCAAGCATTCTATTAAGTCTTGAAGCGTGAAAATCAAATTCACAGAGGTCACCACAGCGGAGAATCTCATTTTCCATCAGACTTTTTGAAGCACTTGCTAGACAACGCAGCTTTATAGATAAAATAACAGTTTGGAAAATAACTTCAGCTAGACTTGGTCAAAATTTCAGATTTCGTGAAAATAGTTAGTTTTCTTGTCATTTTTAAGTGATGCCTGTGACAGCTCTCTCCTTGACATTCCTCCCTCCGTGCATTTCCAATGGCAATTTACGTTTATTGATAAAAATAAAACAAATGTCAGAGCAAGAACGTGGTGTGAGACCAGCCTATAAGATTTGGCAATCCATACTGCTATCTGGGTACAACAAAAATGTTGTGTAACACAAGCCAATACTTTGACAGGATGATTCACTGACTGAATGCTACAAGGATAAGATAAGACTGAAGCTACGGGCAAAATTTATTCACAGCAGCAGACCCACACCCATGCAGGTAAAAAAGAGGAATTTGATCATTAGATTAGTCTCTGGAGCCAGTGGATGTACAGGTAGTTCTTACTATTCAGAAACAGTTTCAGCACTGCCATTAAGGGAATTCAGATTGGAGATTGGAGATTGGAATTGGAGATACTACATGTCATGACCCAGAGTTGTAGTTCCCACACAAAGTGCCTACCTTCTCAAACTTATAAAGAGGAATAGAAAAGCAATTTCAATGTAAGACTACTTGTACACATCTCTGATTTGGCATTTTACCAGAAATACATAAAAAAAAATCTATCTAAAATACTAAGGATCTTGAGTTCAACAGAATAAATAAGAAAACTGTCAAGAATCCTCATCTGGTTCTAAAAGCCTGCAAAACCAACAGACGAAACCCCAAACCCCAAATGTTCTCATGTGTTATCTGTAAAACTGAAATATTTTAGATTCCTGTAACATCTTAATACTTATACCCAATGAGATTCAAGTTCATCCTTTATTTTGCCATCCACACCCCTACACTGTGGATTAGTGTGTCCTCATTTCTCTCAGGTCTCTGTCCACAGGGAGTACACTTGATGGAGGACCCTGAAATGCTTGACCAAATTGCTTGACCAAAATAAGTCACACCTTGTAAAATGGAATAACATTTGATGATAACAGCAGTGCTACATATATGCACACTTTAATGCTTTTCATACAATGAAGCTAACAACTACTCCTAAAGAAAGCCAGAAAACAGTGAAATTATAGCAGCAGAGACACTTTCTGTGTGCTGTTTTCTCTTTTTTCTTTGTTTTTAAGTTGCTATTTCTTTCAACTATAAAGTTGTTAAAAAATACTAGCAATAGTGGAATTGTTTGGAGCAGTCAAGCATTATTATAAATTTAAATCTAAATAGTATTTGTAAACATTATGAGCTACTAAAGACACAATCTTTATTCATCTCAAGTACTTAAGTGCTTGAGTGCATTTCCTTTTAATATGAATTTTTCTGTCAGTTTTAGCTACTGTGTCTTGTTGCAGCATTCATGATTTGGGGATACAGTGTCTTCCCACAAGTAAAACTGTGTAGTGCTGCAATTATTCCCCTTTCTTATTGTATGGGCATTCTATAGTGCATATCTATTTCCTTTTGTAGAAAAAGGTACAAAGGTGACCACAGCCATCAGGAGGATAATGATCTGAATTCACCAACACCTGTCTCGCTTGCTGATCTAACTGTCAGTCATGGTATTAGTTTACACAGTACTTTATTATTAATTTGCCTTTTACTAAATCTCCAGTTAAGAAACTCTGGGATTCTACAGGGAAATAATAAATTACTTTTACTCCTTTAAATTTAGCAGGCTGAACTGCTTCACCTACTGTAATTTGCTCCATGTTCTCTCAGAGACCATGCAACTTCAGAGTTCAGTGTTTAATTGTGCAATTCCCACACTCTCAGCCTGAGCTGCCCTTCATCCCTAACCCAGTACATACAGCATAATCCAAGAGTAGGGAAGTTAAATATTTCCAAGACTCTCTATAACCACCAATTATTTCTCGGAATTAAATCCTCATTTTGAAAGATGAGAAAGGGTTATTTTTTTTCAGTGAGCCACTTCTGAACCCCAGGCAGTGACTCCATCACATCCCCTGCTTTCAGTTCTTAGGTCTGCCAAGATGACAGGATGAAGGCCCATCTGGACAGGATAAAATATATAACATATTTCCATTATATTTCCTTCACTGGCATGGGGAATTACCGAAGACCAAACTCTTCTGATCCTTCACCAGATGCCAAAAGTGCCACAGTGGTCAAACTCTACATTACAGTTATGCTATTCTGGAATAAAAAGATGGGACTGTTGAGATACTTACTGATGTAAAAGCTAAGTGTTTTTGCTGATTGACTTCCACGAACTTCACAAGAGCCAGAGGAGCTAAATGTTGTTACAGACAACTTGTATTTTCCTGGTTCTTTCAGTTCAGCAACAAATTTGTGAGTGTCCTCACTTACTGTCAAAAATTCCATTGAGTTCTCTAAAGCAGGAGGGGAAAAAAAGTGTGGATTAATTAAAATTTGAAAGGCTTCAGAGACTAAGAAGATTATTTACATAATGTTAATTTTTTTTCTGCCATGAGATTAAAAGGTATCCAAAAGAACTGGATTTACATTGGTAGTTACATTTTCTGACATCAGCACAAGAGTAATTAATGACAAATTTTGCAGTATAGGAGCAGAGTAACAATTAACCCAGGCCAAATTTTCATTCTGTGGAAGGCATGACAAAATAGGGTTGTCATGACTGAGCTAGTGATAAAAATCACACCATGAGAGAAAAGGAGCTTCCATTTTTCCACCTATCGCATTCTTATTCTGAAACAAAAAAGAATTTTCCCTCAGCATGAAAGGCTTGTGAAAACTGCCAGAAAATAAAATTCATTTAGATAAAATAGATTTTAAAACAGAAAATCTTTGAGCAACATGGCAATTTTTTTGTATCCCCATCTCTTAAAAAATCTCCCCATTTGTTACCACAGTCTCTTTGTGGCCAGAAGAATGTGTTTGGCAGCTGTGAACTGTGACAACTGCTGATCTGAATCGAGACTACCTTTTCTGCATGTCCCCTCCAGTCCAGCTCTCCCTGAGAACCCTTCTCAGTGACAGTCTATGGAATAATGCACCTTCTTTGTCTCGAATTTCTATCAGCTCATTTCTCCTTCTTTTTATAACCAGAATGGGTTTACAAAAACTACAGTGTAAACAGTGAGATGGTATGTACAACGGTATAAAAGTTGTTTAACAAAAGAGAACTGCAAACTGTGATTTACCTCTCCTGCCTTACTTTTATGACGTCCAGCCAGAACTAGATGCTATTCAATGCAAGAAACTTCTCAAGAAACACAGGGGATCTAACAAAGCCCTCTGAAGTACAGTACTAGATAATTACTAGAGAATTACTAGTCTGTAGAGACAATCCATCAATGGAATTGGAGACAAGAGGTGTGAGAAGGGTTTAAGGCTCTGCTTTACCTTCCCTTTCAATATTAATATGGAAACCATCAAATGCAGTAGGCGGCTTTGGGGGTAACCAGGTCAGCACCATCTGCACAGGAAGGAAGGGAGGGGGCTCTGGCGTGGGTCTTCCAGACTTGTTGGCATCACTGGCCTCGTAATCACTGGAAACTGCATTGACAAACTCCTCTTCACCCTCTGATGACTCAGCTTCGTTAGACCACCAGAACGGCTGCGACGTGGTTTCGTACTCAGTGCTGTTCGAGCGGTGCTCCCACCAGGCTGCAGACGTGTTTGCTGCTGGAATTTCAGGTGGGTTGCCAGAAAAATGGCTAAGCTTTTCTTTCCTTACGACTTCTTGTGGTCCCATAAACGATTCTTCTGCAAAATTTCCGCTGTGCTCTTCCCAGTTGTTTCTGTTGATTGGCACAATCTGAACAGAAATGTTTCGAGGTGGGTAAGGAACTGAAAGAGAAGCAAGGGTTAGCCTTTTAATATGTGTCTGGTGTGCAGCTTCAACATGTGTTAATTCCCCAGACAAATAATATTTGCAAAAAAACAAGGCAGCTAGGGATACTTTGAAACAACTTGTTCTTCTTATTTTTCTCCCTTCTCTTACAAATACATATAGAAGGTGTGATTATAGTGGGATCAAGCTGAGTATAACTTCACAGAAGAATCATGATTCAAGAATATCAGGAAGAAAAGTAGATGTGAAGTCACAGTAAATCAGACTTCAGTGCTATTACAGCAACAAGGCTATCTGAGTGATTTTTTAACAGTGGACCTTCATTTACTTTATTGTGTCTTCCAGGAAGATCTTGATCAAGGTAAAAAATACCTCTGTAGAAATGAATTGAAAAATATATGTAAAACTAATATATGACATGGCTCATATTTTAAAAAAATGACCTTCACGTTGCTGTAGGTCTTTTCATATGCTTTTAGCAGCCACCTTTTCACAAGCATTAAACATCAGTTTAAATTTTAATATTTGTGAAAGCTTGATCTTAAGATGTCTGGTCTCCAGAAGACAAGATTCTGGCACGCAAAGAAGTGCCAGGAGGGGATCACACAGCATTTTGTCTGCCTCACTGTAGTTGCTTGTCTGCCTCTCCTTACACACGACAAGCATGAGTAGCCTCTGCAAATAATTTTGACTGGCCCCTTTCATGCTGGCACTTTACAACACACTAATTTGTTCACCTCCCCCGTCCCAGCCACAGCCACTAACACAAAAACAGATCCTATATTCTCATTGCAGTTTATGTGAAAAATGATGGATGGGAGGGCATCAGGAAAGACAAATGTGATCCTGTTGGTTGCATTTTTATGGTCCAATATCTGGATAACTATATTTAGGATCTTCAGGACAGAACTCAGCTGGCATCAGTTGGCTTTGTTCTGTTCAAGGCAATGGACCAACACCAGTGTATTCATCAGTGGATTTGGCCTTTTGATTTTAACACTGGTTCGTTTCACTTTGGACCCTGAAAACTGTCTGTGGTCCAATAGATTACCAGAAATGTTTTGGGCATTGTCCCAGGACCAAATTAAATTAGTTCTGGACCCTGAACAAGTGCAATTTTCAGCCTTCGCAATATTGGTATCTTGGAAATTAAAAGTTCATGCTTCAGGGCACAAACTGGCCACCAAGTGGGGCAACTATAATATTCTTCTCTGTGACAGAAAACTGCACAATGAGGAAGGCCTTCTCTAACAGTTTAGCTATGATTCACTGCTCAAGGAGACAGGCCAATAGAGATAGATCAATAGTATGCTCAGTGCAGCTATTCCCTTGACTTAAAAATTAATTCCTGGCACAAGGCCTAGGATATCTCATGTGAAGCAGAATTTATTTTCTAAAAAGCAAGTTTTATAACAGAAACACTCACACAAATTTCCCTTTGCACTGTTTGTACACATAACCCTATGGAACAGCCACAGCATTCTCCTCCCAGGCTCCTGGCCTGGAGCAGCTCCCAGGACTGCTCCTGCACAGACCCTCCTCCCTGTGGGGTCAATCCCCTACCCACAACAAAAAGAAAAGCTGCTGTAAAGAGTTGAAAGAAATGGTATGGAATAATTTTCTTCACCTGTTCTGTGCTGTTTGGGCTCGTGCTGGACCCCGCTGTATTCCACCAGTGTGCTCTTGTTGAAGGTTGCTTCTGACACCAACTGGAACGTGATGTTACTGTAGCATATACCTGGCAGCCAGTGATTGAAAACTGTTTTACCTTTAAAGAAATCTGCAAAAGGTTTAAAGAGAAAAGAAGAAAGGAAAATGGAGGATAATGCATCAAACGTTCACTTTCTGATAATGCAACTTCACATGCTGACCTGGCAGTGTTTCAGATGTTTAAACATTGCTCAGCCTGCTCTGAGACATGAAATTGTAACAATTCAGTTTGCCAAAAATTTTCCTGGCTGTCAAAGCCACTTTGCTACCAAAAAAAAAAAAACAAAAAACAAACAAAAAACCCCAACAAAAAACCCAGCACAAGAAACATGAACTACTTTTCACAGGCAGGGGAACTGAATCTGGCAACCTGTTCCACATGACACTGAATATCTCAAAGAGCATCTGACAGTTCCTGCAGACCTTTAACTGCTGCACGCAAAAGCCTCTTTGGTCTTTTGCTGACTGAGGCACAAGGCTCAGGGTAGATGTTCAAAGGAGCATCCACATGCAACTGAGCACAGGCTGCAGGACTGAGGGCTCGGCTCACATCCACTGTCAGTGCACGTGTGGCCTGAAGAAAAGTTGCTTAGGGCTATTTGGCTATGGGAAGGAGTGTGCAAGCTGATTAGTGAATCTCTTAATTTAGGCTGACTTTTTTGTTTATCAGCAGCTTCAGCATTATAGCCCCTGGAACCATCTATTAGGTGTAGAAGATAAAAGTTACTGCTGGTATCCCTTTTGTTCTCTGGAAAGAGGTCACCTATATTTCCTGCTATGGTCCAGATTTGCCCTTCCTAACTTTTGACACTTCACAGCATTGAAAATGTGACTTCTAGACCCAATTTGTATCGAAGCAAAGAGACGCCAAAATTTTCCGACCTCTGTCTGGAGGTGCTTATCTCCCTCTGCTGATTTTAAAGAGAGTTTACAGCAACAAGTCTTCTGTTCTGGGAGCCTTAATTCAGTGCCTAAAATTCAATTCAGCACATACTGGATTCCTCAAAGGCATTTTGCTGCCACTATGCAATGTTAAACCTTTGGGGTTTTAGGGCCCACAGAGTATGTGGGTCTTTCTTGCCCCTCAGGGTGCTTCCCACAGGACAATCACATTTACATCTCTCAGACAGATGCTGTGATGAAGCTATACAGGCAAAAGGGAGTTCAGTTATAAAAAATGAAAAAAGAAAGCAGAATTCGCTCTTGTTAGATCATTTAGGTAGTTAGATTGGTTGTTTAAATTGTTTAGGCTCACTGTCTAGACTGTTAAATTGATTGCCTTTGATTAGATTATTTTAAGAAGATTGAAATTTATATTACCCAGCATGGTTTATTAGCTTAGGGACAATACTGAATGCTACAGTAATATACAGCATAGTACTATTAGCACTGTGTCATTGTATGATGATGCAGAACAACCAGTTTTAGATCCTGTGCCAAGAATCAGGCATATTGAATGGGTTTCCCTGCTCTGTGGCATCCCAAAGCTTTCCTATCAGCTGTTTACCAGACAGGAAACCTTGGCCAGAGGGAAGAGACTGGGATCTTTTTTAATGCTTTCAACTGACACAAAAATCCAGGGATTTCAATGAACATATCTAGAAAGCAAAAATGTATCTGTCTCCTTCCTAATGAGATTTGGGTTTCTTTCATTTTTCCTTTTTTTTTTTTTGAATTGCAGGGAAGATAAAAAGAAATGGTGGAAGTTATTTTTTGGATTTTAGTGTACATGTTAATTTGGAAGTACTAGAAATTGGGGATGCCTCCCCAGGTTGATTTCAGACTGATTAAAAAAATCCAGACCACCAAGTCTTCCTCTAAAATCCAAAAGAAAGGAAATATCACTAGAACTAGGACAAAAGCAAGTTTAAAAATCCCAAGTGAAAATACCAGCTCAAATCAAAGACCCATCCCTTACTTCATTATATAAAAACTATTATATAAAACATTACCAGAAATATAAATCATTATAAACAATACATGTCAACACCACATCCAAGACCACTGTTTAAAGTGTTTCCAGCAGAGTTAACATTCAGTTTTAGTGGAATAGTTTTCTCCTACCTTTGTACAGCATTGTTCTGTAGTCTTTTCCTTCCCAATAGCTTATATTTACCCTGGTAAAAACATTGTACTTCTCTGGGTACTGAATTTCAAACAATACTCCTGTTTCTGGAGATGGTTTGTAATCATAGATAGAAACATTGCTCACAGGAAGGGGTTCTAAAGGATATACAAACAAAAGGAAAAGAAAGGAGGAAAGGAACAGATTAATAGGCAAACTGAGTTCAACAAACATATACACCATTAATGAAATAAATGGTTTTGCTAGGTATGGCATAGCCCTCTTAAAGCTACCTCAGGGCTTCACAGAGGTCCAGGGAAAAGCTACTCAGAATGTTGTCAAAGCCAATATTTCTGTGTCCACCCTCCCCTCAAAGTAATTTATGTTCTTGACACTTAAGCTTTAAGAGAAAAATTGCTGTATTTCCCATAAAAAATAAGGTTGACATATAGCATTTATTATTTAGAGCACTCACAGTCATCACCTCAGAAAGATCTTCATCTTTAATACTTGCCAATCATGTAAAAGTGCTGAGAGAAAAACAACAAAACACTTGAAATTGCTTGTGACTTTGGCCTAAATGTAAGCTTTTAAGATTAACTGAGAAACTTATCAGTGTAATGGCCAAAGGAAGCTGCATGAAGGAAGATTTTCTATTTTATCTATACATTCCTTTATTTCATGGGTAGTTATACAGTCCCCATTCTTACTGTGTGAGAGGGCCACCATCTTCAACATATTTATCCACATCAAACTTCTACAAAATATAGCAGAACCATGACCATTATTTAATAGATGAAGAACTGAGGTGCAGAGAAGTAAAATGGTTTACCGGAGGACACAGGGAAAGCCTGTGCACAGAAAGGAGGTAAGTGAGGCACTGACAGTTTAGTGCTTTGAACTCTGAGCCAGGTAGGCTACAAAAAGTAAGTAAAACATCCCTGTGTCCTGTGATGTGGAATCTAGACCAGTGTAGCTCCACGAGCTAAGGAAAACCATGTCAATTCACTGCAGCTGGGAGTTTGGACTGTTGCTAGAAATAAGAGAGTCACAGTTTTATTCATCCTTCTTTACCCACCAAAAGAAAAAAACCCAAAACAAAACAAAACAAGACAAAAAAACCACAACCCCCCCACCAACCTTTTTCACTTGATGGTCTCCTCAGCAAGAAAAAAATGACAGCAACCCAACTATGCATTGTTAAGAGGGACAAGAAGATATTCAAAACAAGGTTATACTGTTGGTTGAAATTTGTCATACTAACATATTTTAGTAGAGATATTTAATGTAATTATGCCTACATCCTTACAAAGATCAGCATGTTGATTTAGTTCTTGCACACTGTAGGGATCAGGCTGCAAAACTCAGGTTGTTGATTAGCATGGCCTTGGAGGAGCCATCTGAGTTCAAAGTTCTGCTGCTGTAGGCCCTGGAGAAAAACTACTAAAATATTTTTCCCCAAAGAGCATACAGTCATGATGGGCAAGAGAAAGAGCAGATGAAAGGGAAGATCAGTATCAGTATCAAAAGGGGAATTACCCCACAGAGGGTGGAATAGGTTAATCAAAGATAGAAAAGCAAGACTTTAATGTAAGAGAAAACTAAATCCCAATGGCCAGCACAGTGTTTTCACTGCAGCATTAAGTTTCCAGTGTGATGAGAAGCAGAGAAGAAAAACAACTGGGAACGAAACCACAGATGCAAACAGAATCTCTCACCAAGTCTTAAGAAGTAAGTCGCGTTGTCCCGTTTAACTTTGTCAGAGCATGGGAATGCAATGGTGTGGGACTTTTAAACTACTTCTCATGGCCAAGACACTTCATTAGCTCCGTCCAGTATATATCAGTATATTCGTACATCAACCACTTACAAATAGAAAATCCCAATCTCACAGACACTAACAGGCACTTCAGTGATGGGATCTATGAAAATCCTGCTGACATTTCACGAGAGCCTAGAAATAAATAGGAGTAAAGCAGATCACAGGAAACAAAGCCTCTTCTTTCTGCCAAGACTCTTCCCATCGCTTATTCCAAAATAAATAGTGGATCTGACTATCCACACGACCAGAGGGTTCATATCACAGCTCACACAGCACATGACAGTAGTTTAAATGTCAGTAACCATCTCTAAACAGCACAACGCTTACACACAGTCGTCTTTCATGTTAGTGGGTGTGCCCTGGGCTTTCTTCTGCTGTCTCATTCACATCTGAGGTCTTGTTTCCGAAAGAATTACTGAAACTCTCTTATGTCAGTGATTAAATTACCCCATTTATTCCTTCCTACAACAAATCAAATAAAGGATGGAAGCTATATTCATTTTTAATCCAAATGATTTTTCCTCCTGATGCTTTGATTTAATTAACCAATAATTGAATTAAGTGGTAATCACCACAGACTCTCTTTCGTGTTGTTATCTTCCACTCACTATCCTCTCCTTGCTCATGGCTGATGTTAGCAGAGTAGCATGAGTAATATAATGCAATTTAAAGATTCTTCCATTATCTTACTTCCTTTGGCACCAAATCTTCACATCAAAAGCTATTTGCACACTGTGAAATTAAAAGAACACTCAGCAGATAACCATCGTGTTCTGTTTTTCACTTACTAACTGCTCCTAGGGTTATTAAAATTAAAGAATATGTAAAATGCCACTCTTCACTATCTATATTTATAATTAAACAGTCTGGTCTTTTTAATTTTACATTTTCCAGTATTTAGGATTCAGCTTGTTACAGATTTCAGTAGTTCCCAAGAAATAACCTAAATAAGGTGCAATTATAGAATCAGAGAAATACAATACTTAGGGCTTTATAAACACTCTGTACTACATTGAAGTCATATTACAGAAGGGACCTAGACCATTTCAGTGTCCCTCTAATAGCTTGTTTAAGGTACTTCTTCACGTACAATCTCTTTATTTTTAGACTTGCAGATTATATTTTTACACACACAGATAAGCTTGCAGGATCAAGACCTAAATTTGCCTTTTTTTTCTTAGTGTCTCAGAATCTGCTGCTCCCGTAGCAACTGCTTTCCCATTTCATCTGTTTATTGGAAATTCAGCTTCTCCGTTTCTCCAGGACCTTACAGCATTTTGCATTTAGCATATAACTTGCATTACACAAGAATCAAGATAGCATAATAAATGCACCTAACATCTTCCTCAAATGCCTTGGAAAATTCTGGATGCTAAATCCTCCATTAATGCATTCAATTTGTGCCAGACACATCATTTTTCGCAATTTGGGGAAGGGGAGGAGTGGCTGGGGGTTACATTAAAAATAAGCACTATATTTCAATCCTAATATTTGTAGATTGTGTCACTCTACAGATTGAATTAATGATTTATTATTGTTGTAGCTTAGATGCAAGCACTACATATGGGTGGCTGAAATGGGACTGAGATCAACTCTCTTGCTTCTCACACTCACACCCAGATTAATCACTATTTACCTCCACATTGTGACTTTTATAAAAAAGATGCCCCATCAATGGAGTGACCTAACTCCCACAGGAGTCCCCCTTATTCACATGAAGCAGTTGTGACTTATATAATTTTCTCCCCAGGATGACACTATTTATGTATCTATATGACCAGTGGGAAAAGTCACAGCCAGGGTAAAGCTTCCATTACACTGTAAACTTTAGGATTGTTTTACCTCTTGCTGAAAGAAACCTCCTTTGAGGTTAAAAAGCTGGTTTTTTAATACTTTGGGAACATAATGTTCAAGTTATGATAGGCAGTAGAGATACCATGTGCTTATGGAAGGGAATATAAGTGAAAATCTGAACAATGATGGTATATAGTGTAATTTCTACATGGCCACATAGGATGATAAATAAAAACGTGATACAAAACTAAAAAATAATATTATCACAAGAGCAAAGGCATATCTATTTTTCTTGAACAGATTGAGGCCAGTCATTTAGATCATCCTTACAATGGAAATTACAGCAGGAAATCATATGGTTGCAGTTCTTTCTGTTTCTTTGATTGTGATAGAGAGGTTTTTTAACCTTAAAAAGAGGATAACATGATTTATTTGCTAGAGAATCCTGAGTATTAATGGACCTAGATGCTATTCTGAGTCATGTTTCAAAATTAGGGTTGCCACAGATAACCAGCCTTTTTAAAGATGTTTCATGTCATCCTTTGAGGAAGAAAAAGCAACCAACCTCTGAAGCTCCTAGTTCAACAACTTTGATCCATTAACAAGCCAGAGGAAAGGATTCAACCTGCTGAATCACTTCCTGCAGCATCTGGCACAAGGACAACTGAGCATTAACTAAGTCTAATGCCAATTACTTGCTGAGAGCTGGAGATCAGAGTCCCAGGCAGCAGGCCTGTTGGTCTCTTGAGGAGAATATTTTTTGTAGAAGACACTGAGGCAGAACTCTCCCTAAAGGGAATATATTTTACAGTGATGCATGTAAGGAATCATCAGCTTTTGAAACAATGAGACATTCACCACTCAAACCTCCGAATCATCAGCTAAAATAAAAGTCAGGCAGAGCTGCTCTTAATTACCATCAGAGATCTTCAGATCCTGGTTTCTCCAATTCCCAGCAGAGATACATTTTTCCTACAGCACACCATAGCTTTTCAGTTGACTGCTTCCCCCATTCCTTCAAATCTACAAACACTTTTGCCTTCACAACAAAAAGAAAAGTTGACTGTGAATTTGAAAAAAAAAAATTGAGGCTATATGAGTATGAGTCACCCTGGGCAGAATAAAACAGGGCTCCATAAAAAATAGAGGATGAGTGAGAATTTTAGTCACTTATATCCCAGACATGTTCTTTATTTCTCTCATAAACTACTTTGAAATCAATCAGCAATAACGTGGAACTTTCCTTCAAATTTTGGAACGCACTAAATGAATAAAAATTTTGGAGTTACTTCACTCTCCTTGAAAAGCCGAAGGTCCAAGAGAATAGGAAAGCAGGTTTGAAATAGTTGTGTTAGATACTAGAACTACTTCTAACACTGTCCAGACTGAAGACTGGAAAGAAAGTCACTTTGATAGGCACAATACAATTGCACTCATAGGAATCTGGACAGGACGGTTGTGATTCACGTGACCATTCTCGTGAAAATCATCACAGGAACCTTTAAAAGGTAGTCAGGGTTTCAGGTTCTCTCCTGTAGGTAG